ATAGTCTTCTGTGTAGTTTTCTAGAAACAGGTGTGACAGTTAAGGACAAAGAAAGGTAGAGGCTCAGACCAGCAAGAAGAGGCACAAAAAAATATATAATAGTAATTGGTGCCTTAAGTGATCCACAGATAAATGACCGTAGATCGTTGGTAGATAGTTTCTGTCTGTCAAGTGGGCCTGACTCCTCCCAGGCTGGCTGCCATCCAGGATTGCTGAGCCTAGAAAAGCAGAAGCTGGGTCCCAAGAAGAGAAGGTAGAAGTGCTGGTGAGAAAGGGAGAGAGAGAGAAAGGATGCCGCAGGGCCTTGGAATGGAGTGTTCAGAAGAAGGTGAAAAATCCAGTTTAGATTTCTGGTGGAGGCCTGAAATGAGGAAGAGTCAGGAACCTAACAGCCCCCCTTTTCTGTGCTTAAGTACTGGATGATCTCTAGTGGCACCTCAGTTCTTGCTCAGCCTAGAGAGGCAGCGGAAGAGGCAGGAGGCTGAAGAAGGGGAGACTGAGCTGGAAAGTAGCAGGGTGGGAGACAGGCGAGCGGTAGCTGCAAGGAGACAGGACCGGCTAGGGAAGGAATGGAGTGAGCGGGCGCATTCGCACGAAGGACTATACACTGAGCAGTCAAAGGGTTGCAAGTGCAGGCGCTGAGGGCTTCCGGATTCTCAGGTTGGGGGACAATGAGCCACTGCCGGCCCCCAAGCCAGCCCCAAGGAAAGAAGAGAGCAGCCTAGCACCAGGGCCCCGTTGCGGGTGATAACACCGGACTCTGGAAGTATTCCCTGCCCCTAGCTCTGTCCTCCCTTGGAGTGAGCGGGTGTTAAGCCGCCTATCCAGTGACAGTCTTTTCGGCTCATGTCCCTCAAATGACTATGCTGGGAAAACCCCCAGCACAACAATCCTGGGGAAAAGGCCTCACACTGCCCCGGTGCGCACTGACCGCGCCAAGGATACCCAACGCCAGGCGCGGCCAACAACCGCCCTCCAGCTGCTGCCCAGACCTATCGGCTGCAAGAAGAAGCGGAGGCAGCAATGCTGGGCAGAGGCACCTGGACACACTTTATTCCGATATCCTGCCTGAGAAGGCGCGTGGAGCGCGGCGGGCACGAATCCTCCTGTCACCCGCCAGGGCGCACTCAGCCTGCCTGAGGAAGGTCCGGAGGCGCTGCAGAACCCCCAGCTCCCCCTCTCCAACTTTAGGGCCAAATCAAACGAAGCCTTGGAAAGGCTCGGTCTGCTTTGCCGAGCAAATCTCCTCGTTAGCCATTTCCGCCTGGCGAGGTTGGCGCGGGCGCCAGCCTTCTCCTCTCCGGGTGGCCATCTCCAAAAGCCGTGCGGGGAGCGACAGGGCCGGCCCTTCGAGGGCTGCCTAGACCTTGAAGTTTGGAAAAACAACAAGAAGAGAAGTTTGGAAAAACAACGAGAAGAGATTGAAAGGGTTCCCTCCCTTCTTCTTCTCCGCAGACACACACGCACCGTCAGTCCGCCGCCACTTCCTGCCTTTGTTTTTCTTCCTCCAAAACATTTTTGGCCTCTTGCATTAGCTGCCGTGGGGCTCCGGGTTGACGATAAAAGGAAATGCACGCCAATGACTGTTTTTTGGAGATGGCCCCGCGCTGCGGAGCTCTTGAAAAAGAACAGCCCATGAAAAACCAGTCTCCAGGGCCAATGTCATAGCCTTGCCGGGCTCAGCCTCTTCAAGAAATGCAACTCGGACTTGGACTTCCAGGGCGGCCTTAGGTCCCCGTCGGGTCTTCCGCTGAGCCGGGTGGGCTCCGCTCCGCTGTTGGGCCTCCTGCAAAGCGGAAGAGTCAACCAGGCTCAGAGCAAAGTAAAAAACCCGCAGATTTGGTCTGATCCTCAGAGCTGCGCCCACACTCACCCCCGCCCCCCCAAACATCCACACAGTCATTAGGGTCAAAGCTGGGAACAGTGTGCAGCCTTGGGGATGTGATGGAACTAAAGCGTTCACCACTCTGGGCATTTTCCTTCTCCTGGCATCAAAAGCCTTTGCCCTCATCCACCTTCGCGGCAGCGCCCCCCCCCCCCCCGCCCCTTCCCGGCTACAAGTCCCTCCCGGCACCCCGCTTCTGTACAGCCCTTCGAATGCCCTGCCAGCCACTACTGGAGTGCCTTCCTCTGCTCCAGCCTCTCCTCGGGAATTTGCCTTTGTCTCCTGCAGACACCCATGGGATCCAGACCTGCCGGCACCCTCTCGGCTTGGCTTTCAAGGGCACAGGAGGCATTGGTTATGCGGAACAGAGCACATCCCCATACCGACCTTTCTGTGGGTACCCCTTCTCTGGCACCAAGGGGAAAACCGATCTAATTAGAAGAGGAGCTGCTGCAAGCAGCTGGGGGAGGCAGCCTGGCGTCCCCCGCTGGTGGGCCACCGCAGCCGGTCTGCTCAGGCACAAGCTGAAGTTGACTGCCAAAACTGCTATAAAACCCCAGGTCTGTCTAGAACTGTTTTCGGTTCCCCTAGACGCCCCCGGGTTCAATTATAGTCTTAAAAGCCCTAATACAAGTGCAAGAATTTGTTTGCCTTCACCCAGGGGCGGGGCAAGCCCCGCAATGGTGGCGCCTTTGTTACTGAAACCCCTCTTGCATTCCTTTTGTTCCAAGGTGGGGGTGGCGGGGACTGGGTGGGCTGTTGGGAGAGAGTTTGGGAGAGCCAAAATCAAGCCAGAGAAAGGCTTAAATACTGCTATTTAAAAACCTCTCCTTTTCCCTTTTATATTCCGTCTCCAAGAAAGAGATACTGTGGAGAAATAAATATTTTGCCTTGTTGGTTGCTGCTGGAAATAAAAGTTTTTTGGTGTCCCCCCTCCCCCACTGCAGGGCAATCCCATAATTGTGATTCCCAGCTTTAGGAGGTCTAAACTACCCTTTCCCACCAACCTTCCTTCCCACCAGACCTTCTCCCTCACACTGCTACTGCCCTCTGCACAAGCCACAGTGGACAAATATGTCAAGCTGAAGATGCACAAATAATTTCAAGTTCAGCTCTCAGAGATCCAAGGAGCATGAAAGTTCTTGCAGCAAACCCCGAATAAAGAGTTCATTAAACCATGTGTCGGAGTAGTATGATTTGTGATAAGCTATCCTTGTAAAGGAGGGGAGTAGGAGCCACATAAACATTAATGCTAATAAATTAGTTTACTCCACTGCAGAGTAAATTACTTGATATTACTGATATTTACAGCGGGCATTCAAATGCAATGTTGAGCCATCATTTGGAGAAAATACATAATGAGAATATTCCTTTTCCAGTGCAATACATGATTAGATTTGTTATTGAGTCAGTTACAGTCAGCTCAGCAATAAATAAATAAATCGATGTTGACACTTAAATACCAAAGATCTTAGAGTTTATACTCTAAATCTCCCCAAGATATATAAATACCTTCAGCTATTTCCTGGATGGGGAAAGGGAAAAGGTTATTCTTTTTCGTTTTCGACTTTGCTTCCGCGACATCCAGCTCCTTCCAAGAAGATAGGTGTGGGGAGGCCTCTGGGCAGGGCCCCTCCCAGCTCCTATCCCTGCGTGGCTAATCTACTTCTTTCATTTTCCCAAGCATTGTTCATTCAATCCTGCAGGGTGGTGAGCATTTTTCACCATCAATGTTTTTCTTTCCTCTTCCCAAGAAAACTGGACTCACACTACCCACTATGGCCTCTGTCTCTGTCTTTATCTTAAACCTAGCCCTTTCAAGTCGGCCTTGTCACCCAAGGTGCTCGGAGTTTGGGAAGCACATCTCTTTTCTTTGCATTGTGTTTCTTCTGTGGGGCGAGTAGCAGGAAAGGCGCAGAGCCTTCTGAGTTTCTGCCCTGCACATCCCTGGCTCTCACGCTCTGCAAGGAAGGAGAGGAGGCATGTTACCCCTTTCTCAGCCACACTCCCTGGCCCTCGCCCCCTTCTTTACTGCCCCCACTATCCCTACAGCTCTGGAGTTCACTATCAGCCTGGTGGGCCCCCGACGGTGCAGCATACCCAGGAGAAGACCCTTCAGATGTCACCGCCTCTAAAAAAGCCCAGGCTCGCCTCTACTGCGTGGTTTCCCGAGTCCTCAGCGTCAGAAGACCAGGCGGGCGGGAGGACCAGTGCGCAGCTGCGCAGCCCCCGCGCCTCTGGCTCTGCAGAATGACTCTGAACCCCGGCAGGCAGGGAGGAGGAGGGGGTTTATCCAAAGACGGGGGGTGGGGTGAGGAGGCCGGTAGGGAGGATGAAGGGGAAGTGGATCCCGGGTAAGACGAAGGCCCTCGGGGACCTGCGGATCCCTGACAAACCGCTGGGGAAGCCGCCCTGGTTGTTGGCGGTTTAGGGACGGAAGGCACTAAAGCGGTTCGGAAGTGACCATGAATGCGAGCGTGTAATCAAGTCACCGTGCAAATCGGGCAAGCCACGAGGCAGGCACATCCACGACTGCGAACCCTGGCCCCGAAGGGAGTCCAGCCAGGGTCGGAGAGAGAGGTGGCTCCCACAGCAAGTCTGTGGGCGGGGGACAGCGAAGAAGGAGGCGCGAACGCGATCCTCCAAGCGAATTGATTCCACGACCACGCACGGGACACGCAGAGACGAGCTCCCACCCGGCCAGTCTGGGGTATCCCTCACCCGGGGAGTGGTGGGTGGCAGGAGTTGAGCTCTCTCACCGCCCTCGGCGCACTTGAGGGCCAGGACCGTGCAGCTGAGCACAAGCGGGGCGCACCCCAGCCTCACCGCGCGCCGGGAGGCCCCCCAGCCAACATGAGTTACACCGGCGATTACGTGCTTTCGGTGAGAACACCGAGTGACGATCTGTTGCTTCCCCTGAGGTAGCTACAAAGAAAGGAAACCAGGGAGGGAGGGGAGGGGGGGAAAAAAGGAAAGAGGGAAAAAAAAAAAGGCCCGGACTAGCTCGCAGCTTGTCAATTTCAACATCGGGTCACATGACCAGCACCTCCCTGCTAAGGATGGGGATAGATTTCCACGTCAGCTTACGTCTCCAAATTTCTACTTCACGGATCCGCTTCAAAGAGGCAGCTGCAGTGGAGAATCATGTTAAGCTCGGCTACTGCGGAGAGCCCAAGGTAGCCCAATGATGGATTTTGATGAGCGTGGTCCCTGCTCCTCTAACATGTATTTGCCAAGTTGTACTTACTACGTCTCGGGTCCAGATTTCTCCAGCCTCCCTTCTTTTCTGCCCCAGACCCCGTCTTCGCGCCCAATGACATACTCCTACTCTTCCAACCTGCCCCAAGTCCAACCCGTGCGCGAAGTGACCTTCAGAGAGTACGCCATTGAACCCGCCACTAAATGGCACCCCCGTGGCAATCTGGCTCACTGCTACTCCGCGGAGGAGCTCGTGCACAGAGACTGCCTGCAGGCGCCCAGCGCGGCCGGCGTGCCTGGCGACGTGCTGGCCAAGAGCTCGGCCAACGTCTACCACCACCCCACCCCCGCTGTCTCGTCCAATTTCTATAGCACCGTGGGCAGGAACGGCGTCCTGCCACAGGCTTTCGACCAGTTTTTCGAGACGGCCTACGGCACCACGGAAAACCTCGCCTCCTCCGACTACCCCGGGGACAAGAGCGCCGAGAAGGGGCCCCCGGTGGCCGCGGCGACCTCCGCGGCGGCGGCGGCAGCGGCCACGGGCACGCCGGCAACTTCAAGTTCGGACAGCGGCGCCGGCGGCTGCCGGGAGGCGGCGGCGGCGGCGGAGGAAAAGGAGCGGCGGCGGCGCCCCGAGAGCAGCAGCAGCCCCGAGTCGTCTTCCGGCCACACTGAGGACAAGGCCGGCGGCTCCAGTACGTATAAAGGCAGGGCCCTGCGCTTTATGAAAGGGGAGTTGGAAATCTAGCGCAGCACCGCTGTTAAATTTTTATATGCTGTTTTATAAGCATATAAGGTTTATGAAGGGCCTTTAGGTTTCCCCCAACAAAACTTTGTTATAAAAGGCGGGATCACGTGGCGAGTGCTGAAATTGGCCGTGAAATACCCACCGGCCAAGGCATGCCTGCAAAAAAAAAAAAAAAAAATACCCTCCCTTTTTCCCTTTTTCTCCTTCTCAGCTCCCAAGCCCGGCAGCTCGACCCCGCTCGGGGCCAGCTCGGGGCTGAGGAGCCGGAGGTGGGCGCCTGTAAATTCCCCCTGCAAGGGCTCCAGGAGCCTTTGATAGCGAGGTAATCCGGAGATTTTTATAAAAACCATGTGTTGCGCCGGGTCTCCAGTCCCTGCCGGGATTCAAAGGCATCGCTGTTTAACGATGGCGCTAGAAGCGTGTTTAACAGATAAAATAGCCCGCTTAGCTCAAGCAATATATTAAAAGAAACAAATTAACCCAAAGTTGGCCTTTTTGTCCAAAGGAAGCCATTTTCCTCAGGCGCAATGGCAATTACGTGCTGCCTTCTGTCCAACTGCTTGTTACTCACAATTGTTATTCAATCTGTCAAAAGCAGGTTTTTTCTTTAGGTCTTGTGCAGTTTTATCTAAAGAGGGGGCAAGTCTAGCCTACCCACAGCTTTGGGAAACCCCTCTTCCCTCCACAGTATCTAAACTAGCAGCCCTGCCCTAGGGGGACCATGATGGCTGTGTGGGCTTGGTGCTCAGAGAAGGCCCAGGGTAGGGGGCTTCCACTGCCATCTCCTGACCAGAGGAAGCCAGGAGGCTGGCCAAGGAGGCAGGAGCTGATGGCCAGGACGCAGGCTGACAAAGAACCGGCAGCTGCCCCAGATGTTAACAAGGGGGAAGACCGGGGCTGGGGTCGCCTTTACTGTCTTGGAACCGGCGGCCAGGTGCTGGAAGGTGAAATGTCCTCCGGTGGCTGTTTGTTTAGTCTGGCCGGGCTGGAGGCAGCCAGCAACCCCCACTCCGCTGCTTTGAAAGCGGCCTCCGGCACAAACTCGCCTGTTGCTGTGAGGAGCCCTCCTTTCTGCTCTGGAGGCAGCATGAGCAGCCTCCCTGGGGGCCTATCTAGGGAGCTGGCTTTTATCTGGGGCTGAGCCTCTGCCTGCAGCCTGTCCCTAGCCCACAGTAGAAGCTTAAAGGTAGGAGTCTGGAGAGACCCTGATGGGGCTTGGACAGGGCTTCCAGTCCCTGGGGCCAATATCTTTCCTTCACTGGGGCTCTGGGATGGATTGCAGCTCCCATACCTGGCTCACTCCCTGCCTCTTCCTCCACAGGTGGCCAACGCACCCGAAAAAAGCGCTGCCCCTACACCAAGTACCAGATCCGGGAGCTGGAGCGGGAGTTCTTCTTCAGCGTGTACATCAACAAAGAGAAGCGTCTGCAGCTGTCTCGTATGCTCAACCTCACCGACCGTCAAGTCAAAATCTGGTTTCAGAACAGAAGAATGAAGGAAAAAAAAATTAACAGAGACCGGTTACAGTATTACTCGGCCAACCCACTCCTCTAAGTTTCCAGCCAGCTGGAATTGGGTGGGGGGCTTCATACAGGAGATTATATGCAGATTTTGCCCTTGACAAGGTCAAGGCACACGGTGACTTTTGAAGAAAGGAGGTGTGCAAGAGAGGGGCCACAACAGGGAGATAGCCTGGAGGAGGTGGCCCAGGGCTCTCTTGGACATCTGTGATTAAGATTCCTAACAATAATTGGATTCGGAGAATTGTGCATCAACTAGGATGAATGGTTTGGGACCCCTGCTGGTTCATTCTTGGAGACTGCGGAGCTCTGGGCTGGGTGTGGTCTCCATCTGGGACTGGGCCCCCTGCCAGGCCCTCTTGTGATCGACCCTCACCCAAGACCCTCCACTTGGAGCCTGCCCACCCCCCAGGACCCCTGCACCAAGAAGCTGTTCAATCTCCAAACCTAGTTCAGCTTGGGGACAGGAGCAGGAGGAAAGGACAGGATTTCTAGTTGTCCAGAATGGGGTTGCTTTCCAAAGCCAATGTGAAAGACAACTGGACTAAGAGGTGGATATGAGGTGGGAGAGAGCTGCTGATCCTTGAGGGAAAACAAAAAAACCTACTATTCCAGGTGGCATGAGTGGCTCTCTACTCCTCCTAGCCACTCACTGCACTGTCTCAATCCTGAGCTTCTTAGCATTGCCTCCTGCAGCCCATCTAATTTTTCCTATCAATGGGGGTCTTTGCCCTGGTCTGCCACTCAGGCAGGCCTAAAGCCTGGTTGCAGAGTAGACTATTCCCCAAGGTGGAAGACATCAAAAAGCAAAGAGGCTTCGCCCAGGCCGCTGGCCCCTAGATCTCTGCAGGAAATGCCTGTGGAGTGCGGCAGCTGGCAGCTTGGCAAAGCCTCTGCCACACTTAATGGAAGCTTGGATTTGCTCAGCGGAGGAGGGGGCCTGGCCAGCGGTCCCCAGCTATGAGGGGTGCAAGTTCCCCAAAACACCCAGTTCCAGCGCCACACTCTACCCTTCAACACCCCAGAACTGAGCTTGGAAGCTTCCAGCGACCTTCCAAGAGCTCAAGAGTGATTTGGAATTATTTTAAAAGATAAATATTATATTATATATATATTTCCCTGCAGGAACCAAAGCGAATTTTAACAGATGCAATGTAGAGGAGGAAAAAGATGATGAAGAAAATATTTAAAGGCTCTATCTGTTTACAGTGTTCCACGGTTAAACTCACTCACTGCTAAGAATATTTGAATGTACGCTTCATACAGGGATGGTGTTCAAAAGACTTGTAAATAAAGAAACCATAACCTATTTTGTTTGAATACTTTTTTCTTTTTCTTTCTTTCTTTCTTTTCTTTTTTCTTTTTTTTTTTTTTTGCCACTAGTTGATTTCCTTTGGGGTGTTAGAGAGGGCAGGAAGGATGTTGGGAATGGTCTTTTTAATTTCTTGCAATATTTTGAAAGCGCTTGGGTGTTTTCTCTGACATAGTTTTGCCCAACAGTGTCTGGGGACCTCAGCTGAGAAAGCAGGCCCCCTCCCATTAAATCTGCCTCCCTGTGCTAAGAAGAGTCTGGTGGCTCTGTTTGTAACAGGAGTGTTGGCCTGTCTTCTGTTTTCACCCACCGAGGATGTCGCAGCATGTATACAAGCGAGAGGGCACAAGGAAAATAAAGACTGTGGAAACTTGAGTATTGGGTCCTGGTGTGACATTTCTCTCCTTGCTCACTTTTTACTGCCAAATGTCTACCCCATCACCCCCCCCACACACACACACACACACACACACGCACACCAGAAAAGGGGCAAGTTACCAGGTCCCTGGGGAGGTGGGGAAGTGACTTAGGATTTAATTCCACTGGAAGCCAGGCTTAGGAATCTAAGGTGACTGGATAGGTCCTTTGGGGAAATGGGGTCCCAGGAATAGGGTATCCCAGGACTTGGAATATGGGGTTTCATCTTCTGACTGAACCAGCCCTAGGAGAAAAACTTGGGCCCTGGGTGGTCAGTGGGTCTGATTCTCAGGCTGGGCTCCCTCACCTCAAGACCAGCAGGACTGAAGTGAAACCACTCTAGGGTGCCCTGGGGAACCCTTCAGCAAGAGGGAGAACCATCTGGGTACAAAGAGCAGACTCTCAGGAGTCTCTAAGGGTGCTTCCCCCCCCCCCCAGCTCCCCGCTGACACTGTCTTTTCCCTTTGGGGAGAGAAAGATGCTGGTTTCCTCTTTGTTTCCTGCCTTTGAACTTCTGCCTTAAAATTGGACATCACCCATAACCTTGAGGGGCAGGGCGGAGAGGCCAGAGCCTTTTGTTGCCACCCCACCCCCACTCCACCCTCTCCCTAGCCACCCAGGCTGGACCAGAGCAGCAGAGGGGATTAAATTTGGAGAGGGGCCCCAAGCCCCAGGCCCCAGACCCGGCTTTGTTTATTTGTTTGTGTGTTTGTCTAACTGGCGCGACTGGGATCATCAAGCTCAAGGGGGAGTGGGATAGACCCCCGGAGACGAATGTCTAGGTTGATAGACACACATAGAGCTGAACAAGGACTCTCCTGAGGGACAGGGAGGGGGTGGGCAGGAAAGCCCAATGTTTAAGGAAAGACTTCCTTTGGGATGGTTAAAGATTAACCAAAGTCTCACAAGTTGCTAGAGAGAGTCTAGCCAGAAAGACTGTTCGCAGGCGGCGAGCGGGCGCGGGCTTGATTTCTGAGCCTTATAAAAGCCCATCCTCCGATGGCTGTGACAATGTGGTCGTAAAGCCGTCCGGGGCCGGCCAATTTGCATATTTGGAGTGCGCCGCTATAAACCCGGCCGGGGTTTTGCAGCAATTTCTTAGATGTAAAAGTGAGATCTCTTTAGCAGCGGGCTGGGCACATTCTCTCCCTGTTTCTGCCTGGAGCCTGCTTCCCTCTCCCGGCTCGGGTCGGAGTTCGGGCCCGGAGTAGACGCTCAGTCGCCACGAGATGGCGCACTTCCGATCAATGTCAAAGCCGCCGGGGAGCCGGGAACCCCAGCGCGATTCTTGGCCTTTGTTCGCTTCTGATACTAAGAGCAGCACGTTACATTATTTCACTTGTCCTGCTCCCTTTCATATTAAAAGAGGGGTGCTCACCTGCAAGAAGTGGTTGGTGTTGTAATTTAAAGCAACGCGCCTTCTCTAGGCCTCGCAGGCGTCTTGGCGCGGAGAAGCCAGCTGTCCCTTGGCAGTGATTTCGGAAATGTGTCAAGGTAAGAGGCCACAAGTTTAGCCATTTCAAACTGGTTGGGACGGGAGTGGGGAGGTGGCCGATGTTTGGGCAGGGCTGGGGAAAGTGGCTGGGTTTGTGCGTTCCTGGGTGACGCTATACGTGGTCAGCCCACTTACCCCCCACCATTGCTCCCTAAGGTTGGAAAGGGGAGGCCTAAGTGGAAAAGTTGACGATTTCAGCTCCTTGCGCCCGCTAAAAACCCAAGGCAATCTTCTGATTTTGTAAAAGTATTCAGAATGGGATGAGCCAGGGATGGGGGACATCCAAGAAAAAGGGGTCCCAGCTGTGCTGGGATAGGGGGTTGTGGTAGGGGGGGGCGCGGGGGGGGGGGTGGCGGGACTGGGAAAACAGAAAGTTTCTACTCCAAACAATGAGGTGGTTAGCAATCGTGGTCGGAGGGGCTCGATTATTCCCTGGGGCAGACGTGGGGATTGTTGCTGGTTTCCCACTAGGTGCGGTCTCTAGGTCTGCCTAGCAGCCTGGGGGAAACCTTTGTTCCAAAAAAGTGCAATTCAAAAAAGGCGCATTTTATTTTCGAGCTTCCCAGAGAAGTCTGTATGGCTTATTTGGACTGTACCGCTATAAACCTGGCTGTGATCTTGCAGCAATTTCTTAGATGTAAAAATGAGATCTTTTGCATATTTTGAAAAAATGCAAAAATTGTATTGGTATATATAAACCTATATATTTTTAGAAGCTGGCACTGAGGATAAACTATGATTGACCATCCCTCCATCAGGGTTGTCTGAAAACAATTTTTAAATAATAATTTCACTTACATTTTGGGGGTCAGCTTCAAATTTCCTCTTTTCCTGTATTTAAATCTTTATTCTCACTGGTTTCTTGAAATTGTTATTTTTTCCACAAACATACAGTGCATAGGTGAGTGGGGAAATATTAGAGAAAGTGCTGCCTATGCATGTGTGTATATATATGTGTAAATTTTGCCCAAGTCACTTGTCTTTGTTGAGCACAAGCTTCCAGAGTCTGCCAGAATAAAGCAACCAAGAAGTGGGCGCTCCCTCGGTGCTCCCTGCAGCCTGAGCCGGTGCCTAAAACCTCAGAGTCACCTCGAGTTTCAAAGCCTGAGGCAGTTTATTATGGACAAAACTAAGAATATTGTAATTTAGGATGTGCGTGAAAAGGCCCCAAAACTTCCCCCATCAGGAGAAAAGAACCAGTTCAGTGCTTGGATTCAGAAAAAAAAAAAATTAAAGTGAGTTGTTTAGGGATAGATTGCACCTGATTGATTCAAAGCAAACACATCAAATGTCCCTGGAAATATTACTATTCTTAAAGATGATCGGAAAAAGAACGTCATTGCTTACCAAAAAAATTCCTACTCTGCAGTAAATGCAGTAATCAGAGCAGTCCAGAATTTTTGTTAAAGCGGATATGTGAAAGTAGCGTTTATTTTTCCTCTGCGGGCTGAAGCCCAACTCCACGGCCAGTCTGAGCCCCCAAAACACTGAGAGCGACCTTTAGATACAAACTGTTTACTGCCTATCTCAATCTCAGTAACCAGTATTTTTAAAATAATTTTTTTGTAATAACAGTTTGTTTTTCGTCGTTTGCAAGGGCCTTCTCAGGAGAAGGAATCCGCTATCTGGTGAACTGCGTCGTAATCCTCGCCAAAGGGTTTATTCCGCCCGCCTGGCGTTTACTTTGGCTCCACAGCCCTGGGGGAGGGGTATTATTACCCAGGTAGAAATAGGCGATATTAACTCCTAAATAAAACGTGGGCCCTGGCGAGGTTCATATAACCCTGCACAGGCCTGGTTGAAGCAAGCAGTCACCGAGAGTTTTAGGTCAAAGGCATCCAGAAGGCGAGAGAGAAATTCAGCAGCTGGGAGGGAAGGCAAAAGGGAGAGAAGGTAAGAAGGCAAATGGGAGAATGAGAGAGGGTGTGTGTCTAGAAGCCGACCCTTGCTGCAATTGAATCGCCTTTCTTAATCTCTGGAAGGGGGAGGGAGAAATCGAGGGGTTCGATAAGTGGACTATTCTATCGAGCAAGCTAACACCTCGGTGTTACAGTCTGGGAGTGTGGAGCCTTGGAGGCGGTCGGGGATGCGGAGAGCTCCGAGACCGACTGAGTGGGATTAACTTTGAGATTCTGGTACGTTTATACCTTCTCGTTGCAACCTGCGGCAGCAGGCCAGCGTGCGTCCCAAGCGTACTCGCAGCCTCTCCATTCGCTCTGGGCCTTGCAAGCCCAGGTGGGGGTTGGGCAGCGGTCCTGGGTCAGAGAAGGGCTCCCGCACAGGTTTACACACTTGTTTTTAATGCAAGAAACAACACAAACACAACACCCTTATTGGTTTATTACAAGGGGTGGGGTGGGATAGGATGGGGACCCTGGAGAAAAACATCAAGCTCTCCCCAAAGATCGGTGAAGACCCAAGTGCCAATGCCATGGTCTGGCAGCCAGCAGCTAGGAGACTTCTTGTAGCGGTTGTAGTACCAAGCTGACTTCTGTAACTGGGATTGGCACGTGCACACTCTTGGATCGCATCCAGCCTACTCGCCTATTTGGCCACCCTACAGGGCCCTGATCAGAAGACCTGAGCTGCCTACAGCAGGGAACCAGGCTTGTCTTACCAGTCAAACTGATAGGGGTGCTGAATTCCGGGAGTCCTAAAACATCCTGGAGGGCCTTCTGGGCTTTGAGGGGTCTGTGAGCTCCTTGAAAATGATGGGTCAAATGGTAGGAATACACAGATTTCCATTTTTTACAGGTCAAGAGGCAGAACTTGGCCTTAGATTTTGCAAAGAGGCCTTAACTTCCAAAAAGGTTAAGAAAGACAGGTTTAGATCATAGTATTTCGCTTTATTTTCTTAGCCTCCCTATGTCAAGTATTCTGTCCTGTGGTCACTGTTCCTTCCCAACCTGTGGCCTGGGGCGTTGCTTTCTGCATTTAGTCTGGAGAGGCATGAAGTCCTGGCCCATTGCCCTGCTGGAGCTCATGTTTTCCTCAAGAAACCCTCTCTTGTTCTTGTGACCTACTTCCCACTTGGCAGAGCTTTCCTGAGAGGCATGAACAGTACTGAGGGGCAAAGCCCCCTTCTCAGGTAGCCCTTGGCTTTGTGGCATTTCTCAGTAGCACTACTGAGTATAGCAGTCTTAGTTAGTTCCACCCTCCTGGCAAGGTAAGCCAGGTAAGGACCAGGCCCATCAGGGAAGAGTCCTAGGCTTCAGTGCTCTGAAACTTTCTGTGCTCAAGTTCGTTGGGCTTATGGGCTTTGCCAGGTTAGAATTTGCCTTGGCCTTGTGCATAAAAGCGACATGGAGAGCGAAGGGCAGTTCCTAATTTTGTGCACTTGATTCAGCTTGGTGGATGCTGCAGTCTCAAGACCCTGTCAGATTGGAGAGAATTGGTTTGCTTGTGCTCTCTCCCCTCTTCTATTACCCTGTCGTTTTCCTCTCCCTCTGTTCTTCTCTCCCTCTCACTCTTTCCATCTCTATTCCCCTTCTCTCCACCCCAGAGTCAGTAACCTCGGTATCAGAGGTTGAAATGGAGGGAGTGGAACGCAAGCGTTGGCGCCGCGTCCCAGGCTCTGCGCTCGCAGTAGCTGCTGCCGGCAGAGACTGCAACTGCTTGCATCTCAGAAGCCAGCGCCAGGGCTCTGTCTCCTGCTCTCCCATGCACTCTCCCTGGGTCCTCTTCGGCTTCGCTTCCTCCATGGAGTTGGTTTATACTGCAAAGAACAAGGCCAAATGCCTGGTAAATCACCCAAGATGCAAGGGTCTTTTCCACCACACAGAGGCCTGAGCAGTTGGCTGCATAGGATCCCAGCCGTAACAACCCCAGTCAAGGCCTCTGCAGGGGCTGGAGCTGGTGGGGCAGGCAAGCCTAGGGCATCCTAGAGAGCTGTAGCCCGCAGGCCAGGGGCAAGGCCGCGACCTCCTGGGCTCCACTGGATCCGGCCGGAAAAGGTCAAATTTCCTGAGACATGTATGAGGCCCATACTTGGGGGCTAGTGCCATGGGCCGGCCATTTCTAGTTGACTTAGAGCTCGTCCCTACCACCAAGGAAGAAGAAGACCCTGGGGTCTGCTGAGTAAAGGGCCTATCCTCTGAAGGCTCCTATAACTGGGCCCGGAGCCCAGCCGGCCAAGCAGGGAACGGATTTCCTCACCGCGGGCCTCGTTAAAATGCGCACACCGCGGGAGTGAGGGCTGCCCCAGCCCGGGTTTGGAGGGGAGGGGTAAGAGGGAGGGGACGAAGACGCAGGAGTGTGGTGACACTGGCTCTTGTCATACATAGCCTCCAGGAGCATTCGAATGCCAAGGCTAAAGGGAGAACGCAAGAATACTGTCAGAGGTGTCCGTTGGCCGCCCCTCCTCCAAGTTTTCCTCTCCGGGTCGGGTCTTCACCTCAGGACAAGTCACAGACCCTGAAGACCAATGTTTCTTTCACTTCCCTGAAAGGGCTTGGATCCGGAGCCTGACAGGGTGATGAGGCTGTGGGGTGCCTGGACCTAGACTCAGAGGACGAGTCGGGGAGTCTTTCAGGTTGCCAATTGCTTCCACAACACCCATTCAGGCTAGCCCACCAAGGTCCACCGACAGGCAAGCCTGGGGAACACACCAGAGGCAACGATCCTAACTAGACCAACAGACTGGTGGAGGAGGGTATGGGGGACTGAGTCCAGGGCGTTGCGTTTGGGGGAAAATTCTATGTGGAATGTAAAAAATAAGTGACAATTGTCAGCTCCAGTCCGCTCTGGATTTCGGACACTCGGAGGGTCCTGGTGGCCTAGGACCAGATCCGCCACGTTTGGGAGACAGCTCCAGAGCTGAATGGGAAGAGCTTGAGGCCTGGGAGGACCCCTTAGTTTTTAGAGTAAGAAGGGCTAGTGGCCGATTCCAAAATAAGGAAGGGGAGCACCCAAGGCGGACCAGGGTGCACACCATAAACACCCCACTTGTTAACAGCCAGGGGCCCTGGGACCCTTCAAACAGATCCCGAAAGAGGGTTCACGTCTGGGCAGGGACTAGGCGAGCCCAAGGGCCAGGTTACTCCCCTCCACCCAGCCACGTTGGGGCAGCCCCTCCCCCCTCCCCCCAGGCTCCTGGCCTTTGGGCTGAGGTATCGGGTGTGCGTCTTGCGGCCCATCAATACAGATTACATATTTATATCAATCGCGGGCTCGGAGGGCGCCCTCCGAGAGCGGCCCCAAGCCTACGAAATCAAACTGGGAGTGGTCGCGCGGAAACTCTGGCTCAGGATTGGCTACGGGCGCCCGCCGCGGTGCGGGGGGATTGCTAATCGTATTCAGCATGTTTTGCACAAGAAATGTCAGCCAGAAAGGGCTATCTGCTCCCTTCGCCAAATTATCCCACAACAATGTCATGCTCGGAGAGCCCCGCCGCGAACTCTTTTTTGGTGGACTCTCTCATCAGCTCCGGCAGAGTCGAGGCTGGCGGTGGTGGCGGCGGCGCGGGGGGCGGCGGCTACTTCGCCCACGGCGGAGTCTACCTGCAGCCGGCCGCCGACCTGCCCTACGGGCTGCAGAGCTGCGGGCTCTTCCCGGCTCTGGGAGGCAAGCGCAATGAAGCAGCGTCGCCGGGCGGCGGCGGCGGCGGCGGCGGCAGCGGGGGCCTGGGTCCCGGGACGCACGGCTACCCGCCCGCGCCTATAGACCTGTGGCTGGATGCGCCACGGTCTTGCCGGATGGAGCCGCCCGAGGGGCCGCCGCCACCGCAGCAGCCCCAGCAGCAGCCGCCGCCGCCCCCGCCGCAACCACCCCAGCCCCCGCCGCAGGCCACTTCGTGCTCTTTCGCGCAGAACATCAAAGAGGAGAGCTCCTACTGCCTCTACGACTCGGCGGACAAATGCCCCAAAGGCTCGGCCGCCGCTGCCGAGCTGGCCCCCTTCCCGAGGGGCCCACCACCCGACGGCTGCGCCCTGGGCACCTCCAGCGGGGTGCCAGTGCCCGGCTACTTCCGCCTCTCCCAGGCCTATGGCACGGCCAAGGGATACGGCGGCGGCGGCGGCGGCGGCGGCGCGCAGCATCTCGGCGCCGGCCCGTTCCCCTCTCAGCCCCCTGGGCGCGGCTTCGACCCGCCACCTGTGCTTGCCTCCGGCTCGGCGGATGCAGCCCGGAAGGAGCGAGCCCTCGATTCGCCGCCGCCCCCTACGCTGACTTGTGGTGGCGGCGGCGGGGGCTCGCAGGGCGACGAGGAGGCGCACGCGTCGTCCTCGGCCGCGGAGGAGCTCTCCCCGGCCCCTTCCGAGAGCAGCAAAGCCTCGCCCGAGAAGGACTCCCTGGGTAAGCAGGGTGCGCTCAAGGGCCGCAGTCTGGAAGGCAGACAGGCAGACGACCCAGAGAAGGGAAGGAGCAGAGAGCCAGGAGTCCGCGCAGCAGCCGGCCGGCCTTGGCCCGAGCTGCAGGCAGGCTGACCTTGTGAACTTGCTTTTTAATATTTGGGCGTGGGGACACCGTAAAAATTCATGTCCAGCGTAGTGCCCCACACCAAGACGTCCTCCGCGCTGGCCTCAGCTCACCCCGACTGGGGGCAAGGACCCCGGTGAGCAGGCCCCCTCTTGTGCATGTCCTCCGTGGGCCGAAGCACCTTCAGCCGTGGTCTGGGCCCAGGCTACAAGGCGCGGCCCACGCGGGGGGAGGAGGAGGGAGGGAAAGTGGCTCGCCCGCAGATAGCACGGATGTTTGTAAGGCATCCAAAATAAGCAGCCGCCAGCACCAATAAATAAGCCCATTAACTGGCGAAGTTCGAGTTTACGATCCCCCATGCTTTTTTCAAAGTTGCTAGAGGGGCGGGAATCCTTGTTTCGGGTAGAAGAAAAGGCAAATCCAGCCCGGACGCCGGGGGCCCTGAGCTGAGCGTCAGAGAGGGACATTTTCGCTTTCCCTGGAACTCAGAATCCGCCCAGACTGCACGTCCCTGGCTCCTGGAGAGACATGACGGCGGCAGGCCCTTGACCCCGAATCATTTTTTTGTGCCTTCCCCAAGCCCCAACTATGTCGTTCTTCCTCTCCTCACCAGGCCTTGGGCAAGGAGGGGGCTGCAGTGAGACACAGCTATGCTGCCCGCCCCCCTTCCAAGTAAGCACCCCGGACCCCAGCCTGGGGGGCTGCAGGAAATGATTGTATGCCTTGGGGCAAGAGGCAAAGAAAAAGTAAGGCGTTAAGTTCAAGATATACAGGCCTGCCCTCCCAGGCCGGTCATTTTGCAAGCACCTGGCAGTTTTGTGCTAAAACAGGTGTTTGGGGAAAAGTGGAGGGAAATGTAAATTGGGAGGGTAGGTGTAGATTGGAGGCCCACTGGATTTTGCACTTGCCTTTTGGAGGAACTGCTCTTTCTGGGTAAGCAAGCTAAAGGGGAACATACCTTCTGTATATAACTTAAGGCATCCCTCTTGTGGCAGAGGCGACCCAAATTCACCCATGTAATCAGCCCACATAGCCTCGATTTAACTTTCCTCTCTTTATTCCCTTAAATGCCAGGCAATACCAAAGGCGAAAACGCAGCCAACTGGCTCACTGCAAAGAGCGGCCGGAAGAAGCGTTGCCCGTACACGAAGCACCAGACGCTGGAGCTGGAGAAGGAGTTTCTGTTCAACATGTACCTTACTCGAGAGCGGCGCCTAGAGATCAGCCGCAGCGTCCACCTCACGGACAGACAAGTTAAAATCTGGTTTCAGAACCGCAGGATGAAACTGAAGAAAATGAACCGAGAAAACCGGATCCGGGAGCTGACAGCCAACTTTAATTTTTCCTGATGAAGCTCCAGGCAACACTATTTTGTTTTGTCCCCCCCCTTCCCCCCGCTTCCAGAGCTGTTCTCCTCCCTCTGTCTTCGGCCTCTGCCCAGGAACTCGCACCTGTGCGGGAGCCCCATTCCTCCCTCCCACACTTGCCATCTCGCTGGCCATTACATCTGTGCAGGGCTGGTTTGTTCCGACTTTTTGTTTCTTTGTCTGTTTGCTAGGTGCTGGTTTACTTGTTGTTTTCTGGGGGAAAAAGCCATATCACTCTAAAATTCTATATAGATAAATATTGTCCTAAGTGTCAAGTGGTGAACTGGGATGGTTTGTTGTCTTGGTATTCCACTGCTCAAAATGGCCCCTGTTCTCCCGGTGGAGCTGGTTTCCTGCGGGGGGCCGGGCAAACCTAGCCGGAAGGCCCAGGTCCCATTGTAGGCGCTGAGGTGTCTGGCCTGAGGTCAATGGTGCAAGGAGCTGCCACCGGGCTCCCTGGCCTGAGTGTTGGGCTGTGTTTAATCAGGGGATACAGGCCCTAGGTTTCTCCTTTCTTTCTTTCTTTCCTTCTTTCCTTCTTTCTTTCTTTCTTTCTTTCTTTCTTTCTTTCTTTCTTTCTTTCTTTCTTTCTTTCTTCTTCCTTGGCAAAGAGAAGGGCTTATGGGCATGGGTATACAGGTTGGCAAAAGGGCTTGACTTTGGCTGGTTGGGAAACTGAGAGTCAGAAAGATGAACGTTTCCTTCCTTTGTAAGATATCCTAGCTTTAAAGAAGAAGAAAAAAAAAATGACCAGGACAAGGAAACTCCTCTTCCAGTTTGTGTAAGGTCTTGCATTGTGGGACTAAATTATTTCCCTTCCCTCTGAATTTCCATATCCTCTGGCTGTAGATAAATAATCTGATATAGTTTTGTTTATACATGTGGATCTAGTGGATTTTTGTCATAAAATAATTGTTACCACTGGTAACACGACAAGCACACCACAATTCTCCCTATCTTGTGGAGGTTTTTTTTCCCTTTTTTCTTTCTTTCTTTTTTTATTCTTCTTTCCAAAATTCATGGAAGCCAAGGAGGGCTGGGGCAAGCAGAATAGATTAGAGAAGGGAGACATTGTTTGGTTTCCTTTATACTGTGAAGTTACATGCATAAAAGGGTCAAACCTGTAGGTGCAGAAAAAGAAAAAAAACTATAAATGCAAATCTGTATAAATGTCTATTATTATGAAAAATTGCCAATCTTGTTTTATGCAAATGCATTCTATCGTTATTATAAATGTTAGTTCTAGCTCTATTTACTTCTAATCTTAAATCAGAATAAATTAATATTGTAATGCTGCTGTGCGTGGAAAAAAGACGATGTTTATGTTCTTATAGAAGAATAAAAGCTGTGGAATGAAGCTTTTTAATTTTACCTCTTTTTTTGACTTCTTATCTTCACCTTCCACTTTATCCCGTCCACCACTTTTACAACAGGAGGACTAGCCCGCGCCCCCTGCAATTACTTTAGGCATCTATTTAAATATTACCTAGACAGTCGTAATTTGTCTGGGCCCTATAGCCCTGGTGCCGTAAGGTTTGTCGGCTTTTGTTCAGTTTTATGACTTGCTAGTATATCTGGATTGTGGCTGTCTTGGACCGGTGGTTTCAGTTGAGAGAGGAGCTTCATAGACAGAGGAAGCCAAACAGGATTTCTTTCGGGAGCCCCAGGGAGGCTCGCAAAGGCTGGTTATTTTGTGGGTCCCCTGGTCCTAGATGACCCCCAGTCTAGGAATCCGGGGAGCAGGCTGAGCCCATAGTGCTCACCAGCGTCCGCGGCATCGGTTAGGTAGACCGCGGCCAGGCTGCCTGGACACCCCCCTCCCCCAGCACAGCCTCCCCCACCTGGTCGCCCTCCGCGGGGCCACGCGTTTCCTGCTCGCGGGAGGTTGGGGGGGGCGACGTAGGGGGGATGGGGCGCGGGAGCGCGCACCCCGGCTGGCTGCCTGGCGGGGAGGGAGAGAGGGGGAGAGCGAGCGGCGGGGAGCGAGCGCGGGAGGCCGAGACCAGACTGGGAGCCGGCTCCGGGCTCTCCCTGGCGCTGCTGAGTCTCCCAGGGCTGCCGCTGCTCGGCGCCCGCTGGCTGAGCTGCAAGGTTTGGGAAACCAGCACGGACACTGCTCGTTCTCTGTTCTCGCTTTCTCCCCTCCTTCTACTTTCCTCTCTCTCCTTTACCTTACTTCCCTCCCTCTCCCAGGTTTACCTTACAGGGGCCGGTGGCTTCTCTCTCCGTAATGCCTTAGCGGCAGCCCAGGACACTCAGTGGCAGCGGCGGGCGCAGGTTGGCGAGGGGCCGGGCCGGGTGCGATCGCAGGGTTCTCCCTTGGCGGCGGCGGCGGCGGCGGCGGCGGTGGCTGCAGTGGCGGCGGCGGCGGCGGCGGCGGCTGCGGGCGAGGCAGCCCCGCGCGGGCAGCACCAGAACTGGTCGGTGATTTAGGTAGTTTCCTGTTGTTGGGATCCACCTTTCTCTCGACAGCACGACACTGCCTTCATTACTTCAGTTGAAATCGTCTCCAGGTACCTGTGCGCGCGAGGGCTGGGCCGGGCGGGGCATCCAGGCTCTGGTCGTGCCAGGCCTGTGGTGGCAACCTCGGCTTTTCCCACTCAGGAGCCTCGTCCCTGCCTCTTTCTCAGAGCTCTACCAGGCTGCTGGCCTCACCCCCATCCCCACCAGGCCCCAGCAGGTATGGTCAGGTTAGCTGTGCCTCGGCCGACGCCGGGGGCGTGGTAGGAATTCTGAGCCCCCGGGCCATTCAAGGTCAGGGGCGCACACTTCCATCCTGGGCCTCCCTTGCTCCTGCTCTGTACCTAGCCAGGGACCCCGCCATTCTTCTGCAAAGCTAGAACAGCCTCAGCCCCAATCCAGAGTAGGAAATAAGGAAAGATCCCTTTGCCAGTGAAGACTCAGGCTAAACTAGAATGTACAAGGCAGACAGCGTCTGGGATCCTGGCCTTGTCACTTACCCTTCTCTCTTGTAAGCCGCTTTCTGCTTCAGGAGTTGCCTTTGACTCTTTTCTTCCTTCTTTCTTTCCTTCCCTCCTTTCTCTTTTTCCTCTACATTATTTTCCTTACCCTCCTTCTTTCTTTCCCTTTTCTTTATTATTATTTTTTTCACCCTCTCTCCTCCCCAGCCCTTTCTTTTGGAGGGACCCAGGGCTAGCATGGGGAGAGCCAGGGTTTGGTGGGTGCCTTACTTTTCTCTTCACGCTCAAGTAGAGGTCGTGATTACCGAGGAAGGGTTCGCGTGGGGCTTCTGTCGAGGGCTGTGGATCTGAGCGCAGACAAGGCCTCGGTTACGATCACGACCGGATGGCGGCGGCCTTGCGTTCCTACTCCACTGGTCAGCGACAGCAGACAAGGAGATCCGATTAGGGGGCATTCTGCTCTGGCGGCATTTTTGCAAGGAGGCCTTTGCCAGCTTCACTGGGGGCCTGAGGCTGGGACCTGGCTGAGGCTCAGCTAGTCTCAGTGGAGCCTGGCCACTAAGGGAACTCTCCCGGAAGCTTCCTAGGCTCCGGCCCTGCCGGTCTCCGCTCAGGCTTTAACCGCGATAAGGGAGCCCAGCTAGGGCAAAGATTGGCTGCTTGTTTGCCAGTAGCTTCTTTCAGGTTCAGAGTATGTTGGATATGGCATCCTTGGGCGGACGACTGCTGGAGAAGGGGACCCTTCCAGTGTCAGTGTTTCAAATAATAGAGGAAAGGAATTCTAAATTTAGAACCACTGGAATACAAAGTTGAGTCCTTATTCTAACTTGTAGTCCACTCACTGGAAGCCAGTTTGACCATTCTTGTTATTACTGGGGACTGGAAACAACCTCCATCCCTCCTTAGCCCTCCACACACACCGCCACTCGCCACTCCACTGGGGCCTTCGGACTGTTTCCATTTAGCAGTCAAGCCCTTCCCACTCAGCTTTAGACCCAGTTTTCACTGCTCAGCCCCTGATCCTATAATCTGAACATGGTATTACCCTCAACTCTTCTCTGCCATTTTCAGGACCTGAGTATTGGATTTGTTTTGGAGGCCAAGGTTTTAGGGCTCTCGGGCAAAAAGAGACAGTTTGTAATCACACTCACTTAATATTTCTTTATGCACACGCAATTCCTTTTATTTCCAAAATAAAGGCAGACAAAAAACCTGAATGTTTTCTCCCCAAACCTCTGGCCTGAAGAAGGAGAATTTTGGTTTGTGATTCCTCACCCCCCATTCTAGGCACCAGTGAGGACTAGTTAACACTCAAGCCCTGCTAATTACTTAGTAGCTGTCCTATTTGGGGGCTAAGGCTATTTAAAGGACAGCCTTTTTATTTTTAATAATACTATAAATAATTCATTCGTGTCTTCTCTGGGTACAAAAAAAAGTGGAAAAGGCAGCCTGGCGTGTCCAGCTCATTTGCAGACAATTACTATTAGGAGTGAAGGTTTCCTCCCAGATTAATTTTTTCTTAATAAAAACCTCAGAGGACCCCGAACTGTCCGATATTTGGGACACCGTGGGCTGCGGAGGGGGTGGGAATAACGGAGGAATTTACAAGGAAAGGAAACATATTAGGGGGAGGGGACTGAGGTGGCCAGTAACGGCCACGTCGGAGTTCATTGTGTCGGCCACTTCCCTCTTCCAGCGAGGGCCTAGAAAGGGGTACCTGGTTGGTCTCCCCCTCTGGTTTCTCAGCCTCAGGAGGAGAGCCTGGCATTTGAGGGTACCCCCTTCCCCATGCGGGATAGGGATGTATCCGGGCTTGGGGAGGGGTTACTGGGACTGTTGGGGAGGATGAAGGCAAAAAAAAGATGGAAGCAGCCGAGGCAGCCCGCCCTCGCCAGGGAAGTGGGCTAATGAGAAACACACTCTTGCAGGCACAGTGTTCACACGTGAATTTAATTACCCCGTTTTTAGGAGTCGCTGCTTTACGTTTGTATCTGGTGTGGGTTTTTTCTTCCAATTAACAAAGAAGCCGAGGCCTTTTAATTTACCCCTGAAAGACTAAAAGTGGTGAGAATCACCCTCCTCAATTTGGCCAAGCTGAGGGATGGGATTAAAGTCAATGCCCGTGCCCCTCCCCGTTTTAATTTCTGGCCCTGGACTTGAGCTGCGGCCACCTCACACTGGGCCTTGTAACTCCGCTGAGCCGCCTGGCTGCGTGGGTAACCCAGGCGGCCCCGCCAGGGGCAGTGGCCAGGAAGGAAGGAAGGGGACCTGAAGGATTCTTACTGGGCCCCGAGGCCAGCCGCTCTGGTGCGGGCCTCCCAGCTACTGAGCCGCCGGGTCTCTGAGGCCGAATTCTCCTTTTATTGATGCTGCCTCGTGGTTTTTTGCAGCTCGGGTTAGGGGAGTGCGACAGGCTAGCAGAGCTCAGCATTAGGGCCTGGGAGGTCGGAGCACAGGCCTGGGGTGCCTGCTGAGTCCACCGGGGCGGGGGGGGGGGGGGGTCGTGATTCCAGCTGACGCAGTGCAGGGTCCGTTGGGCTCGCGTGTGTGCGGTTGGGCCCCGAACGCGCGCGGCACAACCAGGCACCCAAACACTTCGCTCATCGATGGCTGGGCCGCTCCTTGGTGGGGCGCTCGCTGGAGACAGAGCGGTAAATTTGGGAACTGCCTGGACACCCTGCGATCCTGTACGGCAGATCCCAGGGGCCCCCAAGGCTGTGTCCTCTGGGAGGCCTGTCCCTGCCCAGCGCGCTCGGGCAGGGGCAGTGGTGGTTCAGTTTGGGAAGGTTACTGCGTTGAATTTGACTTTTCAAGGCCGGCCCCTGGTAAACTCGCATCTCCGGGGACTGCGGGGATTATTTACAGGGAGCCCGCCAACCAAACACAACAGTCTAATTTAACCTTTCCAAGTCCTCGTAAATTTTTACAACTGGGAGCCACAGCGAGGTAAACGAATCTGTTGGTCGTTCCCAACTTCCCACCAGCCTGTGTGGCTTCTGAAACAATAACTCCTTATGAAATATAAATATAGATTTAAATACAGTAGAGCGAGAATGCGATTTGGCTGCTTTTTTATGGCTTCAATTATTGTCTAATTTTATGTGAGGGGCTCTGCTGGCCGTACTAGCACGCGGGACCCGCGCCTTGCTGATGGCGTGATTAATTGTGATATAAAATAGTCCGTTTAAGAAGTGTGTGTCTGGTGGTGGCGGTGGGAAGGGGAGGGAGTCCGGAGGCAAGGCCAGATTTGATCTTTTAATCTTCGTTGGCCACAATTAAAACAAACCCGATCGTTGAGCGCCGCGATCCCTTTGCATAAAAACATATGGCTTTTGCTATAAAAATTATGACTGCAAAACACCGGGCCATTAATAGCGTGCGGAGTGATTTACGCGTTATTGTTCTGCTGGGCGGACACGTGATGCGCGTGGCCAATGGGGGCTCGGGCGCCGGCAACTTATTAGGTGACTGTACTTCCCCCCCTGGTGCCACCAAGTTGTTACATGAAATCTGCAGTTTCATAATTTCCGCGGGTCAGGCCAGCCGGCAAGGTGCGGGGTACGGCGATGGCCACCACCGGGACCCTGGGCAACTACTATGTGGACTCATTCCTGCTGGGCGCTGACGCTGTGGATGAGCTGGGCGCGGGACGCTATGCTCCGGGGGCCCTGAGTCAGCCCCCACGGCAGGCGGCGGCACTGACGGAGCACCCCGACTTCAGCCCATGCAGCTTCCAGTCCAAGGCGGCGGTATTCGGTGCCTCGTGGAACCCGGTGCACGCGGCGGGCGCCAACTCGGTGCCCGCGGCGGTGTATCACCACCATCACCACCCCTATGTGCACCCCCAGGCGCCCGTGGCTGCGGCAGCGCCGGATGGCAGGTACATGCGCTCCTGGCTGGAGCCCACGCCCGGTGCGCTCTCCTTCGCGGGCTTGCCCTCCAGCCGGCCTTACGGCATTAAACCTGAACCGCTGTCCGCCAGAAGGGGTGACTGTCCCACGCTTGACACTCACACTTTGTCCCTGACTGACTATGCTTGTGGTTCTCCTCCAGTTGATAGAGAAAAACAGCCCAGCGAAGGCGCCTTCTCCGAAAACAATGCTGAGAATGAGAGCAGCGGAGACAAGCCCCCCATCGATCCCAGTAAGTGTCTCCTCCCTCCAAACTGGCTGCCGCCTCCACGCCGGCCACCCGGATCTGCCAGCCCGCCAGCTTTCTCTCGAGCCTGCCTTCGCCCGCCTGGGAGCCTCCAGAGCAGAGGCCGGGAGCCAGAAGTTGCTGTTTGGGACGCCTCGGATGGGGCCCCAAGTCCACAGAGCTGTGACTAGCGGGCCCGCTGGGCTGGGGGGGAGGGGAGGTGGCTGCTACGGAGAGAGGGGGCGGGGCGGGTGCCGCAGGCCGAGCCAAGACCAGCCACCCCTCTCCCTGGCTGCCCAGGACCAGGACTGCGATACTTTGGGCTGTTCTTCGAAAGCAGCGTTGCAGAGTCTTTTGTGCGACTAGATTGTCCAGGAGTGGCGGCAGCAACTGCAGCCCGGACGCTGGGGAATACGGCCGGCCGATTCCCTTCACTTCTTGTCTTCAGCCAGTGGCGGCGTAAATCCTGCCCAGGATGAGGCTGCAAGCCTGCCACGAGGGTCCCCATGCCAGATTATTCTAATAAACTGGAGAAGTGATCAATGGCCTTGGGGCGCTTATGGGCGCAGTGTGGGCCTGCCCCTCTCCCACAGCCTTCCAGGGAGGTCAAATAAGGAGTGGGAAGAGTAGAAGGAAAGGTGGGGAAGGGAAGACACACAGAGTTACTAGAGGGAGAAAAGAATATTAATCTTGCTACACGAACACAGGGCTGCGTGGTTTCCCCCTGCCTGGCAAGAAAGAGATCTGTTTTCAAATTTCACTCACCACACAATGTTCGGAAAGTGGGAGGGGAGAGGGAAGGACAGGAGGACAGAGGAGGAAAAAGGAGGGCCTCGGAGGGGAGGGGGAGCCAAGGTTTTACTGCGTGCAATTGTAAGTGACCGTCCCTGCGTCTGTCTGCCAGGGGTCCATTGTGTCCGAGGCTCTACCGCCTTTCCTAACCTATTCAGCAGCGTCTTTGAGGAAGACCCCCGGAGGTCCCCCAGCCCCCAGCAGAGTGGGGGTGTGCTTCTCCTACTTCTAAATCCCGTTTTTCTCCCTCTCCCCGCCCCCCCAGGCAACCCGGCCGCCAACTGGCTCCACGCGCGCTCCACTCGGAAGAAGCGCTGCCCCTATACTAAACACCAAACGCTGGAACTGGAGAAAGAGTTTCTGTTCAACATGTACCTCACCAGGGACCGCAGGTACGAGGTGGCCCGACTGCTCAACCTGACAGAAAGGCAGGTTAAAATCTGGTTCCAGAACCGCAGGATGAAAATGAAGAAAATCAACAAGGACCGAGCGAAAGACGAGTGATGATGCCACTTGAGTTCATTTAGAAAACAGACGGAGCTAGAGGGAAAGAGGAAGGACTGCCTGCTGCCCCCTTCTCCCACCCCCACACCACCCAAGCCTCCAGCACCCCGCGACAAAGGGGCACTAAACTCCAGGCCTCAGCTCCCCCTGGCAAACCTTTCTCAGGCTGGCTCCTCGGCCCGCCGCTTTCATGGAGGAGGTATTGTAAGCTTTCCGTTTTACGTTAAGGAAAAAAAAAGAAGAAGAAGAAGAAGAAGGGGGCATTAGCGCTGATATCTGTGTATGCTAACTTGTATATATTTTATAAAATCTACCTGTTCCTGACTTAAAACAAACAAACAAAAAAAACTACCTTTTTATAATGCACAACTGTTGACTGCGGGCTGTATAGTTTTTAGTCTGTGTAGTTAATTTAATTTTCTCTTTGTGCGGCAGAGCAATCTGCCCAGATACTTGAACACTGTGTTTTATTGTGGTAATTATGTTTTGTGACTCAAACTTCTGTGCTGGGTGATGCACCCGTTGTGATTGTGAAAGCTAGAATTCAATTTGAACTCAGGTTGTTTATGAGGGGGGGACAACTGCATAGAGTATAGCTCTGTAGTGGAATATGTCTTCTGTGTAACTAGGCTGTTAACCTTTGATTGTAAATTAGCTGTAAGGATTTCTCAGTGAAATAAATTTTTTTTAAAAAAAAGAGAAAGAAAGAAAAAGAAAGAAAGAAAGAAAGAAAGAAAGAAAGAAAGAAAGAAAGAAAGAAAGAAAGAAAGAAAGAAAGAACGGGTTCTTTGGGATGCATAGATTCATGGTTTTCTCCACTTTTGAAATTCAGGCAATTTAGTCCCTACATGCTCTATAGACCTGTCTTGTCCATTGTAAATACAAACCATGTATTAAAGAATAAGCGATCAGACCAGCTTAAATATTGTTTTTGCACCAAACAGGGAAGAAATTCGGAGCTATACGTATGTGCAGGAGGTTACTACCTATGGTTTACGTTTAATTTTAACTGGGGAGAAATGATATTGTGATGGAGTTAATTTTATTGATAATAAATTATACACTATGAAACCGACATTGGGCTACGGTAGATTTGTATTCTTGATGAATCTGGGGTTTCCTTTGGGCTAAACAGACACTGTATATTTTGCAATAGTTACCTCAAGGCCTACTGACCAAATTGTTATGTTGAGATATTTAACTTTTAGCCAAATAAAATATATTGATTATTTTTATTTTATTTACTTTATTTATTACTTTCTTATTTTATTTTTATTTATTACTATTATTTTTGCGAGCCAGCTCGTTGCACCTTCTTCTCCTGGGGCAGGGGAGCTTTGATAGTCTCTGGGTAGGGCCAGATTGGGATAAACGAGGACAGAACCTCGACTTTGCTCCGCCGGGCTTGGGGGAGCTGGACCCTCCGGCAGGCAGCGCGGGCTGGCCTCAGGACCCCGCACCAGGCCGGCTGCCCGGCGGCACCAGCAGCGGAGCAGCAAGGAGATCGGGGAACACGGGGCAGCGAGGCTGGGTCTCCAGCCCTGTGTCCATTTGCCAGACGGCCAGGAGATCTCTGAAGAGCTGGGCTGGCGTCCTGGGTATCGCTGCCCGGCAGCAAGGAAAGGCCACTCTTTCATCTTGGCGCCCTAAGAAATTGCCCAAACCCGTGTCCACAGAGACTGCTGGGCCTTCCCTAGCAGTGTGTGTGTGTGTGTGTGTGGGGGGGCAGCTGGACAGTGAGCTGAGGGCCTGCCTCCAAGGAAGGAAACGCGATCCTGATCACCCCAACGTGGCTCTGGGGACCGAAAGCCTGCGCCCCCCTCACCCCCACCTCCTGGCAGGCTGGCCCGGGGGATTCTGGGCCCTGCTCCGAGAGCCCCTCCCTGAGCACAAGTCCTGGCAGAGGCAGGGCCCAGGCAACGGACGAGCCCGAAGCACCATAAAAGAAAATGAGGGTTGTTACTGTTTATGGGGTGTAAAGGGCTGCGAGGGGAACGGGGCCACAACCTCGGAGGCCCGAGCACCTCCTAGATGTGACCGGAGAGTTCAGCCTTCCCCCCTACACTGCTTCCCCCCTTGAGAACTTCAGCAAGGGTATCTGTATTCGGACACGTACAAGGGGAACCAAGGCACCAGGGATGGGGCGTCCCCTCACACCCCACCCCCACCCCGCCGCCAGGTTGGGACGCCCTCTGTTGTTGCAGACAGAAGGAACTTCAAAGAATGGGCACTAAGGGTGTGCCATAAAGGCCGGGTCTGCGAACTGTCTGGAATTCGGCCCTTAATGAGTTTACAACTGTCCAGCCCCAATTAAGATTTTCCACCAAAGCCCTTTCATTTGTTTGCTCTGTCTGCCGCCGATAAAGCGATTGCGGAAACAGCTCTTTTTTATGGGCACTGCCCTCTCGGCAGCGTAGATTCCGGGCTGCACGCAGACCCCCTGGGACCCAGCCCTCTCCGTCCTCTGAAAGTGGGGCGCCGGCCCCGCGGCAGCTGCCAACGAAGTTCAGGCGCGGCACCTAGCACTGCAGTACCAGAGTTCGGCCAGCAGATGGCAGTGTGACTCCACGCAAGAGGTCCCCACGCCGCCATCTCCCGCCGCCGCGACCCTGGGAAGTTCCTAAGATGTCGACTTGACGCGAGCCTTTCTGGCGTGGGAGCCCCAGATTTGAGTGAACATCAGTGGTATATTTTCCATTCTGCTCACGCCAGGATAGAAGCTGGGAAACAAGCAAGCGGCGGGGGCTCGCCTGACCTGCACCCTTCGGTCCTCCATCCCGGGGGCCTAGCTCTGCAGCTCCAGGCTTGGGGACGGCTCTAGGGTCACCATTCCCAGCCCTGGACAAGCCTCGGTGCAGCGCTACCCTCGGAGAACCCAGCTGACCGGCGGACAGACACAGAGACTAAAGGCCTACAGCCCTCGGACCTGGTGACTCCCCCCCAGAGGGTGTGCAGAGGGCGCATCCCTGCCAGAGGCCCTGGGCGACCCCCAAAGGCTGCGCCCTAGTAAAGGGCCCGAGGAGGAGCCAGCACCCGGGTGAGCCAGAACCCCGGGACTCGGCCACCTTGAATACATGACAATAAAATTAGGCGTCTGAAAATTGGGCTTTAAAGCATTCTTGGCGACTGTCTAGTGTAGGTCTCGCGGCTGCGTTGTCTAGGAATGGGAATCCTTGGGGACGGACCAGGAGCTGCTTTGGTTATTCTGAAATAGATGTAATGTTTTAAATAATTAAAATAACATCCTAGCTCCAGAATAGGCGCTCAGGTCGTCGTGAAAGCCGCTACTGCTTTCTCTCGCCGTAGAATTTCCTCGGCAATGGAGACACTGAGGCTACTCTGGCGTCCTCTGCTCAGGAGGAGGGAGGGGACCCCAATCATGGCCCAGCCTATCCCAGACCCTGAGTGGGGAGCCCGCCCGGAGCCTTCCAGGAGGCACCCTGAGAGCGGGTGCGAGGTTCAGCCCCAGGTGCGATGGTTTCCCAGATAAAACGCAAAAGCAAACAGAGGACCCTTCGAAGCACCCTGGAGCCCCGTGAACACTGCACAGGGTGCATTCATTTGGATTGTAATAGTCTCTGCCAAGCCCACAAAATGTTTACAACCTGCATCTCCACGCTGTACACGCTATAAAACTGGGGATTGGATTTTGGCTGACATCTCTCTCGGGTCTCGGTCTCTCTCTCTCTCTCTTTCTCTCTCTCTCTCTCCTTCCCTTTTCTCTGTTTATATGCACATGTCGGTATTACAGACACACGGCTTCATTATATTTCATTACATAACACACAATATTTCACAGCATCTGATTGTAAGAAGGGTTTTATAACTTCCTGAGAGCTGTCCGTGGCCACAGTGTATCCAAGCGGCAGATAGAAAGCTGGGTTTATGTAACTACAAATACATGGCAAAGGAGCAGATCGGTAGCCACCGCTTCTCTCCCTAGGTCACGGAGGCTCCAGGTAGGTGCAGGCCGGCGGGGATCTCCAAGCATCGCCAGGCGGGGCCTCTCTTGCCCTTGGCCTGTGGGCGGCTGGGAAGCAGTCCTCCCTGCTCGGCTGCCCAGGACCGGTTTCCCTGATGCCGCCTAGATGACACTCCGCAAGAGCCGGATCTCCTTTGCATTCCTGGGGGATGGATTTGTCCCGGAGCCGAGACCCGGGACCGCTCACTGAATGGAGAAATCGAGGCGCAGGTCGCCCGAGGGGCGCGGACAGCAAGGTTTAGAGAAGCAAATTGCCAGCCTCCGGCTCTGGCAGGCTTCATTGGCTGTCAGAGAACTGGGTTTACATTCTTAGCTGGATTTAAATGTTGAGGACAATTTGGTACCAAAAAAACAGGGGAAACACATATTGCTTGGCATACAGGAACTCAGCCCCAGGAAAGCGGTGGACAATGTCTTTATGTAAGGACAGCGGGGCAGAGGAGAACCCTGCCTACACATGCCTGCTGCAGGCCGCTTCAAGGAGATTTCTGTGAATATTATCACAAGGAACCCAGAGCAATTGTGTCTTTTCAGCCAAATATGTAGGAAACCAATGGCTCAAGAACACGCGGTCAAAGAGGCCTTTGAAAGCCTGACTCTGTCTAGCCTTTTCGTTTTAAAACGCTGCCACCGAAGGCAAGAGGGGAGAGAGAAGCCAGAAACGAAAGGGAGGTTTCGGCACCAGCGGGACTCGGCTCAGTTGGTTGACTTGGGTCCAGAGAGGCTCAGGCCTTGTGGGACAGCATCTGGATCCTCCTTGGCCCAGGCAGAGGGGCAGTGTGTCCTGTCAGGACCGCTTGGATTTGCGCGGGACAAACCCGGGCAGAGATGAGCCTGTGGTGCGGACCTGCAGCGCTCTTGCGTTCGCTCCCGCGCTCCCCAAAATCGCTCCCCGCAGTCTGTAGGGTCAGCTCACTCAGGGCAGGTTCTACTTGAAACGCCATCGCTGTCGGCTGCTTCAGCCACCGGAGTCTAGACAGACAACGGTCGGCGGGCCTGGGTCTTTCTCTTTGCATCTTGCTGTGTCACTCGAGGGACAATTTATTGGTCTAAAGCTGTCTAATTCCTCCTCTTTGATCTCCTAGCCCTCTTCTTGTTTGTTTCATCTTCCTTTAACTTTCTTAGGTTTTTATTTCCTGCCCGAAATTGATGCTATTTGGAATATTTGTTTTTTTCTTCCCTTCCCTTATCCTCTCTATTCCCCAACCAAGACAGTTAGCATCCTGTTCCGCCATAAAGGGTATCCCGGATATTGCCCCCCCCCATGGCTCGAGTACCTCCAGGGGACATCACCCTGGCCCCACCTGCTCAGACAGCCCCCACCTCTCCATCCACACCCTGGGCCCACTAGGCCAGAGCCCAGGCTCTGTTGCGTCGGGGTCTGAACCCGCCTGCCGCCTTTTGTGCTCCTAGTACCCCCTGAGAGGGTGCAGTGAACGGGGGCGGCCTGGACCCTCTGAAAGTGATGGGAAACGCTTTGTACACGAAGAACCAAACTCTATAATTTAGAGGAGAATTTCCGGGGCAATTCCATTGTGAGGTCGGGTTTATGGTGTGCAATCGAGCTGAGCAGTAAAAGGCGCACTGACCTGGCCGCCAGGCTTCCAGCTCAGCCTGGGCAGTTTACGAGCGTTTGGGGGAAGGCTTCGCCCCACCACCCTCAAAGGAGCGGTGAGCAGCGGGGCCTTTGGCTGTTCCAACCCTGCCCAGGGGTTGGAGGCTTTGGAAGGTAAGCTCCAGGAGTAGGGGGCCTGGATGGGAGAGATTGTGACTGCTGTGCGCCTCCCCTCTCTTTGGAAAGGTGAAGCCCTGGGAGCTGGGTGGCCTTTGGGAGGGGTCTCCCTAGTTGTCTTTGGGGTCTCCAAAAGAAAAGGAGACCCAGAGTGGGCGGCAGTTCCCAGGTGGGCTGGGCCTCCTCTCTTCTCCAAACTGGCTCTAAAGCAGGTATTGCTACTAGGCACTCAGGCCATGAGGAGCTGTAGAGGCCCAGGGGTGGCCACAGGGGAGGCCACCAGAAACCTCAGGGTACAGTGGTACCTGGAAAGGTGTAGGGCCTGAGGTTCCTTCAAGATGGGGGAGACTTGGTTCCCCTCCAGACAGGGAGAATCCAGGGTTGCCGAGAGGACAAAAGAGTGGCCAGCCATTTCTTGGGCTGCTAGAGGCCAGGCAGGTGCCCAGGAGAGAAAGCACAGAGCCTGAAAGGCCAGCAGTGACCTGGAGGAGAGAGGGGAATCCCAGGATAGTAAACATGTTGGCAAATGAGGCTCATTAATAGATAAATATTTCACTGCTTTCTTTAGGGCAGATAAACAGTGAGCCCTGATTAAGGAAAGGAAGCTGGGAGACCTTGACTTTATTCGAACCACATGGTTCCAGTTGGCTGTGGCGTTCTCGCTGCAGCTGGAAGCGACGCTGCCCCGGCTCCATCTGAATCGCAGTCTAAGTGAGCTATTGCCCGCTGGACCTGGGCGAGAGGAGACACAGGCAGAGTCGATTTACCCAGAATAGAGACTTGCCCACGGGGCCACTTGGGGGTACACGGGGTGCAAAGATCCTCCTTGGGCTGGGTCAGTGGGCAGAAGAGGGGCAGAGAGGACCCGCAGGCTTGGCCCAGGGTTCGGTACGAACGGGTTGCGCCGGGACGGCCCCGCGCAGCCTCTGTGCTGGCCAGGGGTGCAGGTTGGCGGCAGGCTGAGCGGTCCGGCGGAGCCTGGGGTTGGTTCTGTTCCCGCAGGATGCGCCAGGCCCGCCACGCGCGGGCAGATTCGTTGGCCACACATTTGAGCCTTTTCCCCTTCCATTCTAGGCTGCCGCGGGCCCCGCGGAGCAAGACCACCTGTGAGGGCTGCTGAGATTGGCGGAGGCGGTCATGTGGGCGGTCACGTGCTGCGGCGAGCTCCGTCCAAAAGAAAATGGGGTTTGGTGTAAATCTGGGGGTGTAATGTTATCATATATCACGCTACCTCGTAAAACCGACACTGAAAGCTGCCGGACAACAAATCACAGGTCAAAATTATGAGTTCTTCGTATTATGTGAACGCGCTTTTTAGCAAATATACGGCGGGGGCTTCTCTGTTCCAAAATGCCGAGCCTACTTCTTGCTCCTTTGCGCCCAACTCGCAGAGAAGCGGCTACGGGGCAGGCGCCGGCGCCTTCGCTTCGACCGTGCCGGGCTTGTACAATGTCAACAGCCCCCTGTATCAGAGCCCCTTCGCGTCCGGCTACGGCCTGGGCGCCGACGCCTACGGCAACCTGCCTTGCGCCTCCTACGACCAAAACATCCCCGGGCTCTGCAGTGACCTCGCCAAAGGCGCCTGCGACAAGGCGGACGAAGGCGCGCTGCACGGTGCGGCTGAGGCCAATTTCCGCATCTATCCCTGGATGCGGTCTTCAGGTAGGCGCAGCCGCTGGGCGGGCGGGCGGGCGGGCAGTGGGGACGCCGGGCTGGGAGCGCGGGGCTGGGAGCCGCGGCCCCGTGACTTCTGGCGGCGCTGCCTTTCTGGTTTTAATTAGAGTCGAGGCGCCATAGCGTGGAGAACCCGTAGCATTGTATGTAAATGAGGCTCATAAAACTTTTTATGGCCCAATTAATGGGTTCAATCCTCGTAAATTTATTTAACTCCATTTGCCTTGGAATTTTAACATTAAGTTTGTTTGTTCGCTATTCTCTCTCTTTCTCCCTCCCTTTCTCTTCTCTCCCTTCTTCCTCCTTTTCCTTTCAGCCTGGCTTCTCTTTCTCGAAAGCTGGGAGAGCCTAACCCTTCAGGGCCCCTCACACGCTCCGGTGCTAGGGGCCTTTTAAAGGCGGGGGTGGGGGGCTGGATCGGGAGCAGAGGGTAGGAGCACCCGAGGAAGGTCCGGGGATGGGGGCGCGGACTGCTAGGGAGGAAGGGGGCCGCCTGAAGTGCGGGCCACCTAGGGTCGTCCACTTGCCCAGCCGGGCAGGGAAGCAGCCCCACTCGTCTTTGAATGGCAAAAGCGCAGCGTCTCCCACTTGCCCACACTCTATATTTACAATTTCCCTTTGTCAGGGGGAAGCTGGACATTGTGGAAGCCTAGCCGGCTGGAAAGCGCGGTTGTAAAGTTGGGATTCTGTGCCTTCCCTCTTCAGGGAGCTGCCTGCACGTCTGTTACCGCAGTTGGGGGTCTTCCCCTACCATTCCTGCTCCTCCCCCAGCTCAGTTGGGGGCTCGGGGCAGAAGGGAACGTGCCTCGGGTCAGGGCTGGGAGGAGGGTATGAGCTCTGGGACAGCGGCCTGGCTAATGTACTGTCCTGTCTGTGTCCTTATCAACTTGTCTGTCCCTGTGTCCATGGGTCCACATATCTGCTTGCAGGGCCTGATAGGAAGCGGGGCCGCCAGACCTACACTCGCTACCAGACGCTGGAGCTGGAGAAGGAGTTCCACTTCAACCGCTACCTGACCCGGCGCCGCCGCATTGAGATCGCCCATGCGCTCTGCCTCACCGAGCGCCAGATCAAGATCTGGTTCCAGAACCGCCGCATGAAGTGGAAGAAAGAGCATAAGGACGAAGGTCCGGCAGCTGCCCCAGCCCCCGAGGGCCCCGTGCCCGCAGCTGCACCCACTGCTGCTGCCACCGACAAGGCTGAGGAGGAGGACGACGATGAAGAAGAGGAGGAGGAGGAGGAGGAATGAAGGGCCGAACTGGGCCCTTGGCTGCACCAGACAGTCGAAAAAGCGTCTTTAGAGACTCATCGATTTTATTTACAAAAGTGGAAAAATAAAAAGAAAATGTAAAAAACAACAACAACAACAAAAAACAGTCCCCAACCTGTACCTCATCTACCCCATTACCCACTGCAACTCCCAACTTTTTTGGACAGCAGCCGCCTAGACTGGGTCCCCTTGGGGATCCCCTCTGCCTCCGAGGGCCCCCCAGCAGATACCCCCCTCATCCCAAGGCCAGCTGGCTCTGCGCTGGCATGGCTAAAATACTACCTAGCACAGGCCTCGGAGAGAGGCACCCCCAAACTACCTATGGGCCCAGCCTCAGCGGACCTCCACTCCCAGGAAGCCCAGAGTGTCCCAACACTGGCAGACATCCAGCACCTCCCCCATAGGTCAAGGACCTGACTCTCTAAGTACTACCTACTTGTCCCAAACTACCTATATTGTGCTTGCTGGCTCGCCTGCTACCTAGTGCCGGCCCCTCCCAGGCCAGGCCCCTGCTGCTTGTGGCTGGCAGCCTTTGGGGTCCCTGAGGCTGCACTGAGAAGGCGCTGGGGTCCGGGGACCAGGGCATTGGCATCTATTTAAATGGAAAAATAATATATTTATTCCAAAGCATTTTAAGTGCTGCAACCTAGAATCCCTCTTCTCTGGCCTGGATACTCCAAGTTCAGGCCCATAACCCCCCCCCCACTTTTGGAGGGGAGCATTCCCAAACTAGCTGCAGATTTCTAAGTTAGCTTCTGCTTAGTAGGACTGCAGAGATGCTCCCAGCCTCCCTTCTCCCTCCCCACCCGTGTCCTACTGTCCAGCCATGTTGAATATGTACACCCTGACTTTTCCTACAATTGCAAATATTGTATATTTGAACAAGATTTTTTTGTCATTTATATAGTCTTGGAGCTCATTTGTAAGGCAATGTCTTGACTTGGGAAGGATGTGTTAATGGGGTGACCTTGTAGCATGGTGTGTTGTCTTGAGCTAACTATCTAGCAGGTGGGGAGAGCCAATGCCCTCCCCAGTGCCCTTCATCTCCTATGTTGTCCTGCGTCCCCCTCTTATCCCTCTCAGCTCTAGCCTTGGGTTCCAGGAACAGGAAGGTATGCTTTCAGTTTTGCCCAGCTAACTGTGTTTTATGTAAAAGAAAAATAAAGATGCTTGGTGACAAAGAAATGCGGACTGTTTTATCTGGGGAAGGGGGCTGGGGAAGAGGGTGGTTATGGCTGGAGAGCAAGCCCTAGCTGTGTGTATGTGTGTGTCCAAAGGAGCTTTAGAGAAACCAAAGTGGAAGGACAAATAGGATCCAAGTGTTGAGGGTCCATGAATTGGTGTATATGCATGTCAAGTTCCTTTTTGTGTGGAGTTTTTATGTATGGGTTTGTATAGGTATGTGTGTACTTCTTTGTGTATATGTATTTTCGTGTACGTCTGTGTGTATTTTTACATGAGTCCATAACTATATATTTCTGTGTCCGTAATTAAGTGAACATGTTTCTGTGTGTAAATAATTGGATGTATTTCTGTGTCCAGAATTAAGTGTATGCATTTCCGTGTGTCCATAATTGTATATGTGCATTTCTCTGGGTGGAGATTTTTGTCTGGATTGTGTGTGTGAGCACAAACATCTTCCAAATACCTTGAAAACGGAATCTTCGATAGGTATTCTATGAACCTCCCTAAAAGCCTCCATAAATTCCAAGAGGGAATCCGAAATTCGCTCTTTCCTCTAAGGCTGTGGGGTGAGCTTGCAAAGGGGAATCACCTTGCGACTGATTCCGAATTTTCCATGAGCCCCGAACCTGGCGCCAGGCTAGGAGGTGGGATTCAGGGCCTCTGACGCAGTCCCCCCACCCCGCATGCAGGCTAAGTGTGGGTGCCTCAGAGCCCAGCCCTGCAGCTGAGTAGGGGCAGGGCGGCAGACCCCTGCTGCAAACCTGGGCGGGGGCGTCTGGGTGCGGGGAAGGATGGGGGGCTGGGGAAGGGGCGAGAGGCCGGTGGGGACAGCACAGAACAGCGTGAGCTCTGGGGGCGAGGACCTCGACTCCAATCTCCTGCCTGGGCTGGGCCGGCTTCTTATAGCTCTTTTAATAAAACCCGGCCCAACTGGGTCTGTAAAACCTGCCTCCCCAAGTCGGGGCGGCCTCCGTGGTAAGATGGCGCCGGTGTAAGAGCTGCCTCCTCTTAGAGATGGGGAAAGGGTCATAAATCCGTTGTTGTTTATGAAAATTTACAACTTTGCAATACAACTTTATGAGTTGTTCGGCCCTTCCATTGGCCGCTGTCGGTCATGTGGATGGGAACCGTGAACATGAACTTTTTTATAATTTCCCTTGCGAGAATAGAGCCGCATTCTTTTGCTCCGCTCCGTCCTGCCTGCTTCGGAGCTCTGCCTTCCAGCCCGGCTCGGCTGCGCTTTGTCCGGCGATGGCGAGCGACAGGAGGCCCGGGGCCCGACCCGGCCGGCCGCTCCCGCTGGAGGTGGGGCGCGCCCAGTTCCAGGCGCTGAGGCGGTCGCTCTGCAACTCGCAACCTGGCTAATTTCCTGCGTCCTCTGGCACCAGGAAGGAGGACAATTCGTCTCCCCGTGCTGCCCAAGCGACAGCTGTCAGAGGGGCAGGAGCTTCTGGGAGCCGCCATCTGAAGGTGAGACATGTGGGGAGACAGGAGCAAAGGTGGTGAGATGGCAGCCAGCGCCGGTGGTAGTGGGAGAGGGCACCCAGGGTGGCTTGAAAAGGGGCATACTCCCCGTCACCCACACTCATCCATTCACTGCTGTCCCCTAATACATGACAGGACAGACCCCCCACCACCACCACCACACACACATACACATACATGCATTCCCTTTCTCCTCTCCCTGGCTCAGAGCGGTAGAGCATGCCCGTCTTCCTTCTGGTGGCACATCGCCCTGGCATGCGTGCAGGAGCACTGAGGTCTCTCTCTCCTTCCCCAACGACCTGGCCTAGCCCCAAAGGAAGTGCACCCTGCGTTCCCCGCCAGCCTCTCGGGTTTGGATTTTTTTCTTTCTTTTATCACTCATGACCCAATTGGTTCGATTGAATCCCCCAACGACTGGGGACAGTTCCCAACCTGGGAAGGTGGGAAGAGATGAGGACCAAGTGAATTTATCGACAGGCGTTTTATATCGACACAGCACCGTCTATTCCCTGGGAACTGGTTTGTGGGAGAATGGTAGAATGGGGCGAGGGGGGTACACAAACAAGAACTTACTAATTCAGCCAGAGTCCGCTGCTGATTGCCTGCTTCCCTGCACGCGGTTTCCCGATGAGAGAGATGTCAGAAGCGCGGGGAGAGGGAAGAGGTGCGCGGGTGGAATTCTGTGTTGGAGGAGAGGATGGGGTTAATTGGCTGGGTGTTGCTTGGCGGGAAGTTTCGGTGCAGAGGATGGAGTGGTGTTATTGCGAGGGGCAGAGGCCCGCAGCTAAGGTTGAAAGGAGGACACGAACCGAATGTGGGCAATAGGAGGACACCCACCCACCCACCTCGGAGCCGCAGGGCCGGGGATGGCGGGCCCACCTTCAGCAAGCGGGGAGAGGACTGTGGAACTGCCCAGGCGGAGGCGCGGAGGGGACCGCAGGGTTAGCGTTAGGTCTCAAGGTGGCACCAACCACGATTTGGTCTGGGTGCCTCTCCGCCGGATTTGCCCAGGGAGCTGCCTGGGATAGCGACCAGAAACCATGCTGAGGTTCAGGGCTCGAGTTCTTTTGGTTTTTGGTTTAGGTTCTTGAAGTTTCCCCACCGTAAGCCACTCCCTTGGCGTGCGTTAGCTAACGAAGACGGGGCTGGAGGTTCGGGACGCCCGCGGGCGCTGTGGGTGCACTCGGAGAGGATAAAGCGGCGCATTTGCATTGCAGGGCCGTGGGCAGCCTGACTGCGGCTGCCGCGGGCCCATTATTTATTGCGACCGAGCCCGGGTGGCTCGCTGCTGCCACGCTGTGGCCGTCGCCGGGACCGACGTCAGCCGCAGCCCCGCGTCGTGCAGCCTGGCGCGACTATTGCTCGGGCCCCTCAGAGATTCCCAGGCAGGCCGAGGAGAGGGGGGCGAGGGAGGACCTGAGGGGCGGTCTCCCAGGGCCTGACTGGCCGGGAACCTTCCCCGCCTTGGCCACCTGACAGGAGCTGGACGCCCGACTAGACTCGGGTCCCCCCTCCCCCCCAGCACCAAGGAGACTGGTTGTACAGGCCGCCTGGCACGTCATGGCTGCTTCTGTCCAAACTGCGCGTCCTAAGGCGCCCTGGGGGCGCACGCTGGTTCGGGGAACGCGGCGCTCCGGGATTTTGAAATCACAGAGACCACTGGTAGTCCTGAGGTCTGCAGGCCTGGCTGACACTGAGGAGGATGAGCTATGGCAAGGAAGGCGGGCTGTGGCTCCAGGCGAGAGCCCGTGGCAGGGGCAGGCCGCACCTGTGTGCTGTGGGCTCTGGCCTGGGCTAGAGATCAGGGCGGAGGAGGTGGCCTTCAAGGTCCCCCCACACCAGCAGGCCGTCCTCCAGGCTGACAGAGGTCAAGGAGCTCAGTGGGCAGCCCAGGGAAAGGGCGGATTGTGTGGCCCTGCTCGCCATCCCGTCCCCCTTGAGGAGCAGCCGAAAGGTAAGTGCACTTTCCATGTGGCTTTGACCGAGAAGAGAGAGCCCTGATGGCCATTCTCACCATCCCATTAAAGGCTCCCTCCACCGTCTGGGGCTCCGATTCTTCTCTCTCTCTCTCTCTCTCTCTCTCTCTCTCTCTCTCTCTCTCTCTATATATATATATATATATATATCACTGGTTGGAGAAATAGATTTGGGCGGCTGCCAACATGATATGTACCAGCCTTGGCTAACATGTAGAGATTTCAGTTTAATATATTTTTCCATCTTAGTGCCTATAGAAGCTAGAAATATAATGTGTGGGGTTTTTTTGTTTGTTTTTTGGGGGGGTCTTATTTGAGAAATCAAATTCTCTTGTTGGCTAGGAGCATTATTAGATTGAGAATCCAGGTCAAACCATAACAAATAATAATAACAGTAGTAAACTGCCACCAGCCCCAAAGCTATGTGGGACCTGGAGGAATGAAGCAGAAATTATAAATGTAATCATTTATCAACATCTTCAACGTTTTTTTTTTTTTATCTTACATAATAACTTGCTTGAAATTACTGTCACATGATGGTCTTGTTTCAGAAACAATAATTCAAACATGATTTTCTTGCAACATAGCTTTAAAAAATAATTTCCTTTAAAATTTTTTACTCTTGAGTTTTTATTTTCATTCTTTCCCTGAAGAAATGCAAAGGAAATATAAAATTCTATCCTCTGCTGCCAGGCCCTTTTTATATATGCAAAGGAAAAACTTTCCCAGCTTGGATTGATTGGGGCACAACCAGAAGGCTTCTAGGCACAGCCCCTTTCAAGGGTGCACGCTAGGCTCTGTGCACCTAACTAACCTTTGCCCAGTTTTTTTCCTTTGGGGGAAAGTGAGGGCAGGGGGGTGGGGGGATCAAAAAGCAAGGAAGAGATTAAGAAAATAATTTCCAGATTCCTAGGGGGCATTGCCATGCCCCACAAATCTTGAACCCCATTTTCTGCATTTGCCAGAGTTTTATAAATCTTATAATCATCCTCTGAAAATTCGACCAAATCATTTAAAAATCTTTCTTCACTATCCACAAAAATGAGGAGTTTAAAGCTAATTCAAGGGGTTTTACAAGCCCCCAAAATACAGCCGTAAAAATGCCATTGGAAAGATCACGTTTTTACGAAATGAGATTGATCCATGCGCTGTAAAAGTCAACTTTCTCCAAGGCACACCTCTCAAGGAAGAGAGAGCAGCCCAGGACAGGCTTTTCATATTCTGTTTGGGGAAGGGGAGGTCTGGGACTGCGATAAAAGCAATTCAGATGATTTCCTTGAACTGGTGAGACAAGTGGTCCCCGTTCTGGAGCGACTGTCTGGGGCAGGCCCGGGACCAGTCCCAGGAAAGGCAGGAAAGAGACACACCTCAGGACAGTGGGGGGGGGGGGGAGTGCCCCAGACACCAAGCACATCAATTATCCCGAAGCCTTGGGCCCAGGTGAGCTGCCCTCTATGACCGGCTGAGCCAGAGACAGTGGGTGGCTTACACCTCTGGAATGAGGACACAGATTCCATACGTGGATCTGTCTCAGTTCTGAGTGGTCCAGGTGGCAGAGAGCGATTTTAGGGGCTCTGCGCGAGGGGAGCAGGTCCTGCGGCTGGCTTCAGAGCTGTCTCAAGGCCACTCCTCTGTAGGTCCCTTTCTTGTAGAAACCAGTGGTTTCTGGCTTCTGGGTTCCTGGATTCAAAGGCGGATCGGGGCGCACAGGTTGTGGGGGTGCTTTGAGGCCAGGCAGTCGCTGGCTATTGGAGGGGAGGGAGTAGGGATTTAAAGAAGACAAGTTTTATGTGGGAGGAGAGGGCTGGCGGGGTAAGAGACAACCTTTGGCTGTGTCCTGGTCAGCTCCAGGTGAGCCTTTGGCCCTCTGCGGCTGGCAGGCCCAAGCCCTTGATTAGAGTGGGGAAAGAGAGGAAGAGGGGATGCAACGATTCCTAAGGCGCAGGAGTGCGGAGCAAGGATCTCAGGCCTGGTTTGTCAGAACCCTTCCCTAGCTCCGAAACCCGCACCCAAGGGTAGGGGAGTGCAGGGGGAGGGGCAAACTCAGGGCCCTGCGGAGAGGGCAGGCCGCAGAGAGCAAAGCCATCCTTGTCACCGCCCCTCCGGGAGCGGGGCTGTCAGGTTTCCTGTTAGGAGAAAAACACTAGCAAAACCCAACAAGGCAAAAGGGGGAGGAGGAAAGAGCGGGCCTGACGGGGCCTGGCGGTGGCCCGGACACCCATACCCCGGCCTGATCCACACACCCCTTCCTGGGCCGTGCCCGCCGCTGGCGTCGGGAAGGGAGCCGGGCCGGCCGGCTGTGCGCGCCCATTAATCTGCCGGGAGGGCGGCGGGCGGGCGGGCTGGGGGCTGTTTGTAACTTTGCTGCCTCGGTCGCCGCGGTCCCCGGGGAGCGGGCTCCGGCGCTCGCTCCCATTGGCCGCTGCCGCGTCAGCTGGTGCGATTTGCTGCTGTCGCTTTTGGCGTTCGGCCATCCAGAAACAAACCAGTTCGATGACTACTAATAGTTATAGCCAGATGTACTAATACACAACAAATCACAGTCCTGCAGAGGGGCGCGCAAATGAGTTCCTATTTTGTGAATCCCACTTTCCCCGGGAGCCTGCCCAGCGGCCAGGACTCCTTCTTGGGCCAGCTGCCCCTCTACCCGGCCGGCTATGAGGCGCTGAGGCCCTTCCCGGCCTCGTATGGGGCGTCGAGCCTCCCGGACAAGACGTACACCTCACCTTGTTTCTACCAACAGTCCAACTCGGTCCTGGCCTGCAATCGGGCGTCCTACGAGTACGGGGCCTCGTGTTTCTATTCTGATAAGGACCTCAGTGGCGCCTCGCCCTCAGGCAGTGGCAAGCAGAGGGGCCCTGGGGACTACCTGCACTTTTCTCCCGAGCAGCAGTACAAACCCGACAGCAGCAGCGTGCAGGGCAAAGCCCTCCATGATGAAGGCACCGACCGGAAGTACACGAGTCCTGTTTACCCCTGGATGCAGCGGATGAACTCCTGTGCGGGTAAGGCATTTCCCTGCAGCACCCCCCAACCCCCACCTCCCCGCCCAAGAGATTGGAAGGAGAGAGGGAAGGAGGCAGGGAAAGAAGGAAGGAAGGAAGAGACAGAGAAAGTCGAAAGAGGCAATAGAAAGACAGGAGGAAAGAATGAACAAAGTTTCTTTGGCTTTCAAAACCAAGAGATTAAAAAAACCCAACCCATTCCCAATGGAGCAATGAAGCTGTGGCAGAGTGAAGGCAGGACACTAGTGTCCATGTAAGGTGACACCTTAGGGGAGCCCATGTGTGTGTGTGTGTGGGGGGGGTCATTGCCTTGTTAGGTGAGACCTGAGAGACAGGGACAACCTAAAGAGAGAGGCAGGCTGGATTGGAGGGAGCTCCTGCCCATACTACATCCTGGTAACACCCTGCTCAGATTCCCAAACCGAGATAGCCTTCTGCACCCATCACTAATAATTCCCCTTTACCTCCCAACCCCTCTCCTTTCTGCCTTTCAGAAACTCATATAGATAGAGACACTTATTTGGTGTCTTCCAGGGTTACCCCAAAGCCTTGGAGGGCCACATCCCCAGCTGCAGTATTTCTTCTCTCTCCTCCCTCCCCTCCTCCCCCTTCCACTCAACTGCTCACTTACAGCCAACTTCTGCCTCCTTCTGAGATCCTGCGGGTATCTCAGACACCCAGCTTGGAGGGAGCCCCCACCCATGGGCCTCTTTGGCACAAGAACAAATAGCCCATCACAGTTCTACATTTCTAGGAACCCCAGGTGGCCCATAGCCCCATCTCTTTGCCCCTAGTCTCCCCAAGACTTCACAGGGAATCCTTGGAGCAGGACAGTGCCTAATGCGAATTTTAAAACTTACAATGTTTTGCTTTAAAATCCACTTGTTTTTTCAAGGAAACTCTGCACTTCTTAGAAGGGCCATACAATCTGGGGGATTTTGCAAAGATTTGAGAAAGCTGACGATTTTTACCTTCCCAAATAGTGTATTGAGTCCTGAGATGGCTGGCCACAGTAACGTCTTAGAAATCCATATGTGGATTCAGTGTGTCTACCCTACTCATAGGGTTACACATCCCCACTCCCAGACATACACACACTGTACTCCCATAAAATATGACTTAAGCACCTCGAATTAAGAATGCTCCTTATATTATTTTGCTTGTAATGGGTTTCTTACAGAGCAGATTTTTCAAAAACAATAACTTCCCACCCCAAGTCGTTTTAGGTGGAAAACATCTCGCTTGGTATAAAATAATCTTCTCCCATCCAGAAGGCTTTTGGCCCACGACGTAGTGGGAGAGGTTAGAGTGGAGGCGGGTGGTTTCCAACCCAGAGACCCGGGCACGGGTGCCCGGTTGACTTGCTCAGCTGCCCGGATCCTGGCTCACCGGCGCCTGGCCTTTTCTGCCCGCAGGTGCTGTGTACGGCAATCACGGGCGCCGAGGCCGCCAGACCTACACTCGCTATCAGACGCTGGAGCTGGAGAAGGAGTTCCACTTCAACCGCTACCTGACCCGGCGCCGCCGCATCGAGATCGCCAACGCGCTCTGCCTCACCGAGCGCCAGATCAAGATCTGGTTCCAGAACCGCCGCATGAAGTGGAAAAAGGAAAATAAACTCATCAATTCCACACAGCCCAGCGGGGAGGAAGCTGAGGCAAAGGCGGGCGAGTAGACGCCTGGGCAGGGACCAGGCCAACGGCACAACCTCCCTCGGTTTGCCCCCTTGCCTTCGCCTGCTCCCCAACTTTTCTCCCTGCCTGCTACCATCCTGGGGGCATATGCTGCTTCAGGGGAGCCAGGAGCTTTGCAAAAGCCTGAGCATTTATTTCTTTCAAACAACAACAACAACAACAAAAAACAACCCCCCACACACAGCCAATCCCAGCGGTGGAGCGGGGTGCACTGCATACAGTCCCACTCTCCAAGGCTGCCCAAACCCGCTCTGGATGCTAGGGCGCGCCCCAAATTTGTCCCTGACTCTTGTGCTGGCGCCTCTGCATGCCCCTGAGCAGGGACGCGAGGTTGCTGGAGAGGAAAGAACCCCGGGACCGAGCCTCTTTTGGTGTCTGGGCGTTTTGGCCTCGGTCCCTTGCCACCAAGTCCCGAAGGGCACCACCAAATCGACTCGGGCCACTGCAAAGAGGGGGCCTAAAGGTTGGGGCCCCAGCACTGCGGTGGCCTCCCAGCCCCCACCCCCAGACAGGAAGAAGCTCGAGGAACAAAGGGGGCCCAGAGAGAGCCAAGTCTCTCGGCCCGCGCAACCGTCCGTGGAAGAGAAGCAGTCTCAGCCGAGCCCAGTCAACCTGGGCGCGGGTGGAACTTTACAGCTCGAGAGCGACTGGGCACTTGAAGGCTCCAGGCTCCGGATTCCAGCTCCCCGCCTCCGACAGTGCTGGCGCTGCCACCACAGCAGCGTTCCGGACCTACGGAGGGGGCCCAGGGCCGTGGGAGCGGCAAGAGTCATGGTTTCCAAGCCTGCCAGGGGCGCCTGCGACGCCGGGCCTCTAGCGGGGAAACCCTCCCTTGCCTTTCAGCTATATTTGTGATTTACTTTCATCTTTCAGAACCCAGGAAAATAACTACGGAGATGCTAGGCACTGCCACGAAATGCTTCCATTAGCGCCTTCATTTTACTCCTGGAGGTCTAAGCAAGACCCTAATAACTCGGCCCACGAATCCCCAGCCCCCAAGCAGCTTCTGTGGCTGCGGGGAGCCTGGGCCCACTCGCTGGGTTCACCTAGAACCCCTCCGACTTGGTGCCCGACTGGCTCCAGGAAAAGGACCCAGTGGTGAAGATTCCCCAGGCTGGATACTTAAAGCAAATCAGAAAGCAAACTAATGACACGAAAACTATATTTACACGAAAGAAAAATCGAATCTGGTTATAAAAGTGTATGGAGTTTGACCTCGCCTCGGAGAAACACTACACAAAAGCTATCTTTAATAGACGCCTGTCATTTAAGAGCGGCAGGGATACTGTCCCTCATGCGCTCGAAAAAACAGAGCCGTAATTGTAGCTGCTGCTGCGGGCAGGATTTATTTCTCCAATTGGCTAAATGGCCTCCCCTCTTTCCCGAAGGTGATATCTGTATTTTCAATTTTTAGAGCTGCCGGCACGACGGGCAGAACCGACCCCAACCTCGACACAAAAATAAGAGGGGCTGCACAGCGGGGAAATAAAGTTGTTGTAAATAAAATCCAAGTCACCATCTCCCCCCAGTCCTCTGCATCCTCGCCGGGCACGCGATCGGCAGCTGACGGCCTCACAATTGGTACATCCTAATGGAACTGCGAGGGAAATGCAATAATTTTGCCATAATGGGCTGTAACCTCAATTCGACCCCGGCCCTTGCAGCCCCAGGTCGGAAGCGGAGCGATGAGCCGCGCCTCCAGCGGGTGGCGCTCGAGTCCGACTGAACGGTGGCAGCGGGCAGCGGGCACGCGCCTGGGGCACGCGCGCCACCCCTCTCGCCTCCACCCAACTCCCCCATTAGTGCACGAGTTTACCTCTAGAGGTCATCAGGCAGGATTTACGACTGGACAACAAAAGCACGTGATTCGAAGTCGTACCCCATATTTGGGTGCCTACGTAGGAGGGAACCAAGTACATGTCCCAGTCATTTCCATAATTCATCATAAATTGTGCAAGGGTGCTATAGACGCACAAACGACCGCGAGCCACAAATCAAGCACACATATCAAAAAACAAATGAGCTCTTATTTTGTAAACTCATTTTGCGGTCGCTATCCAAATGGCCCGGACTACCAGTTGCATAATTATGGAGATCATAGTTCCGTGAGCGAGCAATTCAGGGACTCGGCGAGCATGCACTCCGGCAGGTACGGCTACGGCTACAATGGCATGGATCTCAGCGTCGGCCGCTCGGGCTCCGGCCACTTTGGCTCCGGGGAACGCGCCCGCAGCTACGCGGCCGGCGCCAGCGCGGCGCCCGCCGAGCCCAGGTACAGCCAGCCGGCCACGTCCACGCACTCGCCTCCGCCCGACCCGCTGCCCTGCTCTGCCGTGGCCCCCTCGCCCGGCAGCGACAGCCACCACGGCGGGAAAAACTCCCTGGGCAACTCCAGCGGCGCCTCGGCCAACGCCGGCAGCACCCACATCAGCAGCAGAGAGGGGGTTGGCACGGCGTCGGGAGCCGAGGAGGACGCCCCCGCCAGCAGCGAGCAGGCGAGCGCGCAGAGCGAGCCGAGCCCGGCGCCGCCTGCCCAACCCCAGATCTACCCTTGGATGCGCAAGCTACACATAAGTCATGGTAAAGCCAGCCTTTTTCTAAATCCACGCGGCCGCGGGGACGCGGCTCTCCGTCTCCCTCTGTCCTTTACCTCCCTCTCTCCCCGTCTCTCTCCTGGTCTCGTCTCTCCTAGCCCTGTGGAGCCTCTCCCCGCCGGTCTCCTTCCCTGCCTTCCTCCATCCTCCTTTTCTTCTTTGCAGCGCCCTTGCGTTCGTAAGGGGGGGGGGGGGCGCTGGTTGGCAAGTTTAGACGTTGAAAGGGGGAGGAAGGAGAAAACCTATGTCGAACCCCAGCGCCTCGGAACGCGCTCCCGGGTCAGGCCAGCCGAGTAAGGCGCAGAGAGGTAGAGGATGGCAGTAGGGGCTGTGAATCGGGCTTGTCAGGACGGATAATTTATGAGGAGGGCTACGCTGGGGAAACAGCGTTACTAATTAGAGCCCCCAAAAAGGGGCTTGGGGGGTGGAAATAATCCAGGCGAGAGCCGGCGGGACTCTGAAGTTTGGGGGCAGGAGGAAGAGCAGGAAAGGAAAGGGAAGAAAAAGAAAGCAGGAGCCCCAAGCGTGCAGGCTGGAACAGGAGGCAGCTCTCGGGGCTGGAACTTTAAGGGAGGGTGACCTGGAGGCCACTTGGGCGCTCAGAAAAGGGCCTTGTGTTGGTGGGTTTCTGAGCGGTGGGTAGCTTGGAAGGGCTGAGTCCCCGCCTCGGGGCACCAGGAGCAGGGCCAGAGGGCAGGAGAGGGCTGGGAGAAAGCCGGGAGACCCTCCAGGACGCAGTTCCAGCCTCGGATGGGCCGATTGTTCCCAGAGTCCAAATCGTATTGTTTTCTTTCTAGAAAGGAAGAGGGAAGGAAATTCGGGGGGGGGGGCAGGGGGGCGAAGAGAGGACTTGTTGAGCTTTCCTTCCCTATTCCCTGCTCAGGACCCTGGCTCGTCCAGCTGGCAGACTTTGGTGGCCAGGGGCTGAGGAGTTGGTGGCTAAACCGCTGACTTTTCTGTTGCAGACAACATAGGCGGCCCTGAAGGCAAAAGGGCTCGGACGGCCTACACGCGCTACCAGACCCTGGAGCTGGAGAAGGAGTTCCACTTCAATCGCTACCTGACCCGCCGAAGAAGGATTGAAATAGCACATGCTCTTTGCCTCTCCGAGAGACAAATTAAAATCTGGTTCCAAAACCGGAGAATGAAGTGGAAAAAAGATAATAAGCTGAAAAGCATGAGCATGGCGGCGGCGGGAGGGGCCTTCCGCCCCTGAGTATTTGAGCGTTTAAAGTACTGAGCAGTATTAGCGGATCCCGCGTAGTGTCAGTACTAAGGTGACTTTCTGAAACTCCCTTGTGTTCCTTCTGTGAAGAAGCCCTGTTCTCGTTGCCCTAATTCATCTTTTAATCATGAGCCTGTTTATTGCCATTATAGCGCCTGTATAAGTAGATCTGCTTTCTGTTCATCTCTTTGTCCTGAATGGCTTTGTCTTGAAAAAAAAAAAAATAGATGTTTTAACTTATTTATATGAAGCAAGCTGTGTTACTTGAAGTAACTATAACAAAAAAGAAAAGAGAAAAAAAAAACACACAAAAAAGTTCCCCTTCGACCTCGTTTAGTGCCAATGTTGTGTGTTGCACTCCAGTTGTTTAACTGTGCATGTGAGTGGAAGTGTTCCTGTCTCAATAGCTCCAAGCTGTTAAAGATATTTTTATTCAAACTACCTATATTCCTTGTGTAATTAATGCTGTTGTAGAGGTGACTTGATGAGACACAACTTAACTTGTTTGACGTGTAGTGACTAGTGACTCTGTGACGAAAACTGTGACTCCAAGCGGTGTGTCCCTGCGTGCCTTTGTAGGACCCTTTGCACGAACTCTGGAAGTGGCTCTTATAAGCGCAGCTTCAGTGATGTATGTTTTTGTGAACAAAGTTACAAATATTGTCCAAGTCTGGCTGTTTAAGCAAACTGTGATCAGCTTTTTTTTTTTTTTTTTTTTTTTTTTGTATTTGTTTTTAAGGAAAAAAATACTGACTGGAAACAAAAAATAAACTTTCTATTGTAAGTTCTCTTGGTCTGGTTTGTGCCAAATAGTGAGCGGCTCTTTCTGCTCTTCTGTCTGTCCAGTCCTGCAGGCTGGTGAGTCTGAGGCTACCTGAGCAGCCTGCCTGTGCAAGGAGACCTCAGACCCACACCCTGACCCGCAGCCTCCCTAACTCTGACCTTTCAGAAAGTTCAGGGCAAAAGGTGGAAAAGCTGTAGGTGCTTCCAAAGCCTGAGTCCAACCTGCCCATCTATGAGGAAACCAAGTTAACTTGCTGGGTACAAAAAGAGGAAGAGAGAGAAAGGAGGAAAAGCCCAGGGCTTTGTTAGCGGCCCACGGGGCCCACTCAGATGCTGCCTGTTTCCTAAGACCATCCTGGGCCTCCACTTGAAGAGGCTGCTATGCCAAGTTGTGGCCCCCAAACTCTCTGCCCCTAACCCACCCAGGCACCCCTTCCCACTCCTCACCCTGAACCCAGTTGGCTTCTTTTGCTACAATTAATTTGCTACAAATGGAAGGTACTTACCCCATCCTAGCTCGATTGGGAAACTCCTCAGAGCAGCTAAAGCGCAACTAGAGATTTGCACATTTACCGACTGCTTACACTGATGCCGTCTTTCCTTTTAAAAGTTATAAAACAGTAAACTTTATAAGCCCCAGTTCCGGCTATATGACATTTGGGTGCCAAATGAATAGGGTTTTGTCTATGAATTAGATCGTAAAATCATCCATAGCACAGACAGATCGGCTCACTGGCTATAAAACGTCACGTGGGGCCATTAAAGTAAGTTTTATGGTTTTGGGGAGTTGACATCCAACATTATATACCACATAACATATAATCTCACTGACGCTGGACTCCATTTGACTCTTTTGCAGGCTACGTGTGCTGCCTGGTCATTCAAATTGTCAATTTTAGGTCCAGAAGTGTCCAAACCACAAGTTCTCAAAACTCTCTGAAAAATGGCTCCCTTCGAGTTAAGGTAAGCTCGCCTCCTGAGCACTTTCAAGTTTATTTGTACTCTAAAACTTTCTCCCTGGATCTTTCTCTCTCTCTCTTTTCTGTGTCTCTGGTTCCTATGTCCGAGGTTACCTCTGAATTCAAAAGGGGAGCGCAAAGTTTTCCTCTGCCCCTGAGGAGGGCCAGGAGCCTGCTCTGCGGAGCCACCACGGTGAACAGCGCCTGTGGCCGCGCCGCATCCCAGGCCTAACTTTAATTGCTGCACCACCGCGGATGTTAATGACTTCCGCTGCTCTCGCTGGCGTGCAAAAAGATGATTTTTGTGTGCGCATGGGCCTCTGTGTGGAGACTTGGCTGGGCCGCCCCCCATTCTGGGCTGGTGGGCCCGGGTTCCTGGGGGGTGAGGTGTCGCGGAGCCCTAGGGTGGGGGCTGGGAGCCAGCGGGGCGAGGGCTGCGGGCGCCGAGAGCCGCTCCGAGCTTGGGAGTTTGAAAGAAAGGCCCCGCCAGGGCCGAGGCGGACTCTGGCGGGATTCCTTGTGGGGCTGTGGCAATATGTCTTCGCGGGGCCTGGGTCATTTGGCAGCACTGAATTGAGGCGGCGGCCTTCGGGGCCGGGTTTCAGGCCTGGCTCGAAAGAGTCGGAGGATGGCAGAGGTCGGTGAGGCGCGGGCCGCACCTCCAGGCTGGGCTCCTGGGTTGCCAGGCCGAGACCAGGACCTTAGCGCGGACGGGACGCTGGGGACCGCGGGTCCCCACCTGGGGGGAGCGCTCACCACCCCCTCCCCCGCACCCCGGACCAGGCCCTGAACCTTGCTGGCCTGCACGTTCTTTTTATTTCAGTGGGACTGTTCTCACCCGCCTGTGAGTCTGAAGCAATAAACTTTATGGCCGGATTTAACTTTAGTCTTTGAATCCCCAGGCTAAATGAAAGGAGTAAAAGCCCTTTCTTTTCTTCCGGCTTGCCTTTCTTCTCCCTCTCTTCTTTCCTTTTTCTCTCCTCTTTTGTAGAATTAAAACATCTATGCACAGGACCCTCAAAAGGCAATTTAGGCGTCCCCCTAGATTACACTTAAAGATTAGAGAAATTCACTCCCCCTCATCATACAGGGGGAATTCTTCCAAACTGTGCCCTAAAGTTTGGGGGGAAATCGAGATGTCTTCAACACCCAACTTAAAAGTCCCCAGAGCCATTAGGTTGTTTTCCCTGACACGTCATAAAGGGTAGTTGAGGGAAGAAATTGGTCGTTTGTCAGTAGGAGATTTCCGCCTTTCTTTTGTTAGCTGCTCTTTCTGTTTGATCCCAGGAAATTTACATAATCTATGATTTCCAAAACAGTCCCCAATATTGCACCAACGGGTGAAGTAAGGTGAAATAAATTTTTCCTGGGTACAATTCCAGCGTGGCCTCAGCCACCCCCTCTGGCCCCAACCCCCCACATTCTTCAGTGGCAAAGCGGGACTGGGGACACTGTGGCCTGTCCCGGGGATTTCTCTGGATGGGTATCCACATGGGACCTAGCGAATTTCCCCCTATCCCATCTGAAAAATTCAGCCAAATTCTCCAACTTAGAAATGAAACAGAAAATGGGATCTTATGTCTCCAAATGATGTTCTCCTTAGGAACTGGGTAGTTTTATGCAAGTGCTAATTGGTAAAGATATTTACCAAGTGCTTATAGTGAAAAAGTTTAAAGTACAGATTTGGAATTTCAACATACTTTATTGTGCAGAGGCCACTTACACTCAACATTAGCCCAACAGATGTTTCCAAAGTCAGAGGTCCAGAAAGCAAAATCTGGGGAGTTTTCTGCAAAATTGAAACCCCCACACACATCCCACTTCTCTTGAATAGTGAGTGGCAAGGCAGATCCCTGAAGTCATTTTTTGTAACCTGTTAAAGTGAACATTGCTATTTCAGTACTCAGGAAAATGTGTCTGCACCTTGGCAGAAACCAGAATAGAAACTCTCTTTGGGTCCTGTTTTATTATTTTAAGTGTCTGTAAGAATTCTAGAGTCTTTGTTTTGCTGCTCAGAGTTTTGGGCTCTTTATTGGAAAATACTGGGTGAAGGTTTTATTTTAGTTGCTCATTTGGTGATCTTGCTTGAGTGATTTCTTGGTGACTAAAATTAGTAGCAAAAAAAAAAAAGAAAGAAAGAAAGAAAGAAAGAGTGGTAGGGCTGCTGGCAGATTCACTTGAGTAACTTGCCTGGAGGAAGTGGCCACACCACCTCCGTGGCCACATCCCACCCTGGGATGTGGGAATAGGCACAAAGGCTGTTGGACCTATATCCAGCATCACACAATATAGAGAAACTTTCCCATGATTTAAAAGAATTAGAGGCTATAAATATTGTCAGCTTGCTAATTTCTGTCTGTTGTAATCTTCATAAAACTTTAAAGTTTAAGGAGCAGGCCAACTCACATGGAGTTGAGTGACTTTTTAAAAAATATAGCATCCAGTCAGACCTATGTGAGCATTACTGGAGGAATTTTTTTTTCCTTTCTTCCTATTTTCACAGGAAGCACAGTAAAGAGGATGGCTGGTTATCTGCTCATTTTGTAGATAAGTTACTTCTTCTTGTGCATTCTTTTGAGTTGTTTTTACAGAGAAACTTACTTAGAAAGAAAATATCTGTCATTGAGAGCTTTATGAAGACATCCAGCCCCAGCCGGTGGCAGAAGTGTCTGTCTGTGTTCCTTGTCTTGTAAAAGGAGAAGGTGTCCGAAATGTACAGGGCCCCGTTTGTTTCTACAAGCAGAAGAGACAATATTTCCTGAACTATAAATATAATAGGAAGCTTCTGGTCACACTCACTTAGGGGTTTGTTAGGGTTTCCATGGTCTAATTTCACAACATTATGCCAAGATTCTCTTTCTTCTGCTCTTTCCCCCCAGCTTCATTGTTGGCGGCTCTGGGAGAGCAAGACAGAATTTTCTACCAGAAATGGAGTCATGTTCATTTGTTGAGATGTGAAGAGTACTATATCCAAACAATTAGTGAAGGGAGAGCAAATCACATCCTTAAAGATGGGCTATTAAAGAGGAAAACAATCCTTTTAGCTTAAAAGGTACCCTTCAAAGCCTCTCCCTGCCTTAGCTTGGGAGTCTGTTCGAGGTTTGCCCACCATGGAGAGTGCAGAACGGTGTGGCTCTATGTAGACCCTTTGGTTTCTAGGGCAGAATTTCTTTCTAGTCAATGACAAAACTATAAATGGGGCTTCCAGACAGGGCTAAGGGGGTCAACCTAGGCTCCCGCCCACATAGGAGTGGGGCGCCTGAGTCTTAGCCATTCAAAGCCCTAGAACTGGAAGATTTGCCTAGGTTAGTTTTGTTTGGTGTTTTGCACAAAGAAAGCTTCCTTCTCTCACCATTTCCCCTTCCCACAAACCAATCTTTTCAATAATAATATTTGTTATGGAGGTTATTGGGTAATTATTGCGATTTTGTGAAGCAGCCCTTGCTAGAGGTGAAGTCTGTCATCACCTAACAAATGACGCCCGCGCAGTTCACTGCCGGGTTAAGTAAATGCAGAGAAGATAAATCTGCACACCCCAGGAATCGCCAGCAGAGCACGCTTTAGTACAAGTTCACAGTCAACTTGCTGGCCTGGGCCAGCTCGCCCAACAATTAGGGCTGCGTCTTTATTTCTAAATTAAGAAAAAAATGTCTCCAACTTCCATTACCTGCTTTCCCGCATCTTCTTTTTTCTTTTGCTATTTGTGAGGCTCCCCCGCCCTACCCCCAATTTTCCTTATAAATGTAATGATAAGTGATTTCAAAATAATCTCTTTCCTATTTTAAGTGCTGATAAAAAGAGGTAGGAGGCTGATTTGACAGGAAATACAGTCACAAACACAAAAATATCCAGTGCACCTTCTTATTCTAAAAGGCTGTGGCAGAAGTAGGGCGTCTCTGAGATCCTGGGAGGGGGGCCTTCCCCCTGAAAGAAAAGGCACAGCTTTGTATATCTTTGTGGTTAGTGCGTTGCAACTGCAGGTCAAAAAGTTGAGGGTCAAAAGTTTACGTTGTGCAGCACTCTTAGTCATCTGCCCAGACAGAGTTTGATGTCAATGTTAGAGCTGCGATCTTGACTATCAGCACAAAAGATAAAATGGCTTGGAGTGACGCGTGTATCACGGTATGGACTCCAGGTGAACCCTAGTGGTTGAATGACCTCAATTATGGAGAAAAGGATAGAAAATTCCTCTTTTCAAGAGTAATACATGCTGTATTTCATCTTGAATTATCGCTCCCATTCTGAGGGAATAGCAGCAGGTAAATAGGCTTAGATTACTGAAAAACCAACACCTTGGATGTTGGAGAACCAGGAGTCTGCGGGTGTGTCACAAAATATAAAACCTCAAAACTCATCAGTGGACCTTTAAGAAATAATGTAGCAACTTTCCAATGCTCCGTGGTACCTTCAAAGGCAAGAGAACCGGCAGGAAACTTCCTTTATTTGAAAACAGTGATTTTGATTTGCCATCTCTTTCTTTTTAGTACCTATAATGATTCCTAAAGTGTGTGAGAACAAGGGCAAATACACGCACTTCTTACAAAATGCATTCTTTGCAATTTTCAAGCAGAAAATGCTTTTCCTGAAACTGCCACCCACTAAATGCGAAGAGTTCTTACAGCTGAGAAGGGGAGGAAGGAAACCGAAACCCTCCCCCAAAGAGACAGGATTCCTCTACCCCTCCACCAGTGAGAACATGCTTATTGGAACCATGAAAATGTTCCTGTTGTTGGAAATTTTTCATTATGCTTATTGTTAACCCTCCATTGAATGTAAGAGAAATGCTACAATCTATAAGCGAATAGCTAAACTGTAAAGAATATGCCATTTGATCAGGAAGGTAAGAATCCACAAATGCTAGAGCACCTTGAGAGACTTCTATTCTCCAGAAAATACTCTTTAAAAACACATTTGGAATAAAAGCTAAACAGAGGGGAAGCATGCTAAGGAGGAAGTGTGGGAGAGTGGAAAAGAAGGGAACAGTGTGTTAAGGAAGCCGACTGG